GAGCCGGAGCCTTGGAACTCAGCTGCACTGTCCACCCAGCAGGGCTTCGTCTGCCCTTCCAGCCTTGGGCCAGACAAGGGGGTGCTGCCAGGCCTGAGCCCACACTCCACACCCCGCAGCCCCTGCATATCACCTCTGAGCTGTACCCACCCCTCTGCTCTGTACTAATTTTAACCGTTATTGAGCACCTAATAGGTACAAGGCACTGCACTAAGCTCCTAGCCTGCTTGATCCCATTTTTAAAGATGACCCTCACTGAGTCTGTTTCCTCAGCCATAAAATGGAAATAATAGCAGTACAAGCTCACAATCCCTGACCTGAAACCCTCGGGTCAGACATGTTTGGGAATCCAAAAGTTTTCAAGTTTGAGAAAAGTGACACAGAACACTTTGAGAAAAGTGCCAGCCATGACGTGACAGTCCTAGTGAAGTCTGGGGCAGCTCTTGACCACAAACATCAATGTAGCTGCAGTCAGAAGTGTGAGTCTGCGCCCAGGTGCCCCCAGCTATTAATAGCCTCATGCTAGTTCAGGATAGGACTTCGTGCCAAAATAAGGTTGCTATAAACATTTTTTTAAAACAACTTGGTTTTCGGAGCTCTTTGGATTTCCCTTCTTGCAGAGGTGGCTGGTGTCCCCTGTGGCAGGGTCTGTGCCCAGCTGCTTCCAGGAGGAATTGAGATGCCCGTGTGGTACATGTACCGGGCCTGGCTTGGACAGAGCCCTTGGAGTTTTCCTCCTGCCTTTTCTGTGGCACTGGGGACTGAACCCAGGGCTGCTCTACCACCGAGATACATCCTCAACCTTTTTTATTTATTGAATTTGAGACAGTGTCTTACAAAGCTGCTCAGGTTGCCCTCGAACTTGTAATCTTCCTGCCTCAGCCTCCCAGGTAACTAGTGTAAGAGGTGTGCATCACTACGGTCAATGAAATTTGTCTCTTCTCCCTGTCATTTCTTCACTATGCTGCCATCTGCCACCAGCTTTGATTCTAGCAACCCCAGAAATTCTTATCTATACACATAACCTTTCCAAGTCCTATGCTTAAAAATGCCTTTGCAGTCCCCAAAGCCCTGTCCTGTCTGTACCTAGGCCTCTCCTGCCCGCACACACCTTCTCTGCCTGTGTGCCCTCTAATGTCTCAGCTGGCTCTGCCAGGCTCACGCAGACCAGAGAGGAGGGACCGGCCTCTGTCTCTAGGTCTCTACAGGACTAGGACCTGGAGCTCCCTCCGTGTGTACGCTCATCCTCACCAGGAGGGCCGGGACATCCCCAGCCTCAGGGAGTGAGTGCCTCCCAGAAGGCCCTGTCTAGTACCCTGCCTGTCTGGCACCCCCAGCATCAGAGGCCACCCTGCCCACATCCCTGCCTCGAGCACTTGTTTCCAGCATGTTAGAACAGACCTCTGCCTTGCCCTGTGTGAGTCAGCCGCCCCCACGCTCCCCAGGAACCTACAGGGTCTGGAAAATCCCCTCTCAGCTTGGCTCCTTCCCCGCTGGGCCAGGTCTCCTTCCAGCCCCTCCTCTTGGGCCCCGCCATCCGGCTCCAACTTCTGCCTAAAGTACTGGGTTCCTCTGAGAGGAAGCCTGGCTCCCTCACAGCCGGACAGGGGCTGGAGGGCAGGAAGCCTGGGTTCTATTTCTGGCTCTGACCTTGGAGCCACCGATGGCCCTCCTTGGGACCTGAAGCATGCGCCGCAGGGGCCCAGGCTGCCATCAGCTTGGGCATCCTCGGGGGCCATCATCGGTCAGGTTGGGGATGGGGCTTGCTGGTACTGTCCTCAGCTCAGACCTCCTGGCCAGCCTGGAGGTCCGGCCCCGCCCCGCCTCCTTTCCTGGTGAGCAGAGGACTGGAAGTGGGGGGCTCTCTCCATGGTGACCCCAGGCCTCAGTTCCCTCCGCTGTGCACAGGGACACTCACAGCTGCTCAGCCACCTCAGAAGGTCTTTGTTGGCTCAGATAAGAGGAAATACTCCTGAAACTTCAGTGTGATGAGGCCAGACAGCACTGAGGGAGCATTTAGGCCCTGGGGTCAAGTCCCAGCACTGAGCAGGTGACGGACTCTCTGCCACATCGCCCCTTCGTGTGGTTTAACACTTGCCCCCTGGGGCGGGAGTCCCCAGGACATACTAAGTGCTCAGTGAACACCGGCTCTTACTCTCTGGTCGGATCCTGGACTTTCCCAGTCTGATCCAAGTTCCCTTCTATGGTCAAGTCTCAGGCTCCTCACTACTCTTTCCGGGAGCCCTTTCCCTCCCCTCTGGCTCCTTCTTCCCTCTCAGATGTGAAATACAGCTGTTGGGATTTTTTGATCTTTAGCTCTTAACACATGAAGTCTCTGCTGGGGTTGACTCGGCCCTTGATGCAGACTCTCAGCTGACCCTGGATCCTGGGACTTTGCAGGGAGGGCTACAAGGAAGGGGAGGCTGCATCTGAAAGGCCCACAGCCTGAGGTCCCTGGAATTAGAGGGGGACTTCTGACCAGGCCCCAGTGTGCTCTGGATTCTCTTTCCCCTCTCACTGCAGATGTGTGTTCCTGGCATTTTTTCCATGTTGGATCTCACTTTGCTATTTCCTGTCCGGTTCCAACCTCCCCCCTCTTCCTGGGAAAAGCTCCGGACCTTACTCACCACCAGCATTTTCCTTTCCAGACAGTGGTGTCTAAGGGGAGCCGGGAATGAACCTCCCTGCCCTGTGCTTGGCCTCTAAGGCCTTGCTTGCATGGGGAGGGAAGGAGGTGGCAGTGACACAGAGCTGGTCCCCTCAGACCTCCTCAGCTCAAAGTCAAGTCTCCTGCACCAGCCCCAGTCTCATACTCCCCTTAAGTCAACCAGGGCCTGCTCAGGACCCACCCTCTAGCCAGTGGGAACCTTGCCCTCTCCTCCTAGCCAGGGAAGGCGGCAGAAGCCTGAGCCTAGGTCTTGCCTTGTGGCTTTCAGAGTGCCCTGGGTCTGCACAGCTATGACCGTCTGACCTGGGATGAGAACCTGCCTCGGGGACTCCGAGAAGAGGCCCAGGAACAGTATTCTTCTCCAGCCCTGGAGCTTCTTAAGCCACACCCTGGGGGCAGACAAGCAGACGTGGCCACCACTCAGGACAGGGACAGGCAGTTGTGTAGTGGGGGAGAAGGAGCAGGAGGTACCGCCCATGGACTGTGCAGAGGAGACATCAAGTCACCGCAAGAAGTGAGGGATGGGCAGGGGCAGTCCAGGTTTCACCCGAATGACCAAGTGGCATGGATCCCCCACCCCCAGAGAGCTCACAGCCCAGGGAAGGGATGTGTATGCATTCTTAAGTGTGAGGGGTCCTCCGAAGCAAGTCCTCTTCAGGAAGCAGGGAAATTGATGGCGATGACCTGCTATCCCTTTATCCAAGTACTGACTGAGCACAGGTGCTGTAGGTGGAGAAGCATCCATCTTAGCCCCTGCCTTCCAGGTACTTCCATTCCATGCTAGGTACAGACAGTAACCGGACCCAGCCCGGGCAGAGAATTTCTCCTCCTCTCCACTGGGGTGCAGATTACCCACAGTACAATGGGGTGCTGGAAGTGTGCAGGTCAGTAGTGAGAACAAGAGGGATATACCTAGATCAGCACCCAAAGGCTTCCTCTGCGCCCCTTCCTGGTCACCCCAGCCTAGCCCTGGGCCCAGGAGGATGCTGATTTTCATCACCGAGTGTGAGGTGTTTCATCACCGAGTGTGAGGTGTGCCCAGATTGGCTCAAGGAGAGTGTAGTCTGAGGTCATCCAGTGTCACCTGTACCTTTTCGCCCCTCAGCTCTTAGAGGGCGATTGCAAGCTGAGCCTTGACGGGTGCGCAGGAGTTGGGTTCACAGACAGTGGAGGCAGGATGTTCCCGCAGAGGGACCATGGCGGGTATGTGGGAGAAGGCCAGAGGTGCGAGGGAACGTGGCTGGTGCACAGGGGGACAGTTGGCTCTTCCGTTTTGCTCCTCCTGTGGCCTTGACGCCTTGTGTAGCCCCGGGCTTGGGCTTTACAACCTAGGCTGTTTCCCTCAGGCCTGCTTAGAGGAGGCCAGGCCTGGCCTCAGGGCCCTGTTCCTGGACATCTGGATGTTGCTGTCCACATTGCTGTGGACGTTGCTGGATGTGCCTGGTGCTTGTGGCCTCCTGCACCCTCGGGCTTCCCTATGTTTGTATTTGTCTAAGTTCCCTGGGAAACTCCTGTGGAAACATCTCCGCCTCATCCAAGGCTGCCCGCCCCACACCTGAGAAAGGCGTGTGTAGCAGCGCCAGCCTGCGTACAGGGCTCCACAGTGCCTCCAAGGACAGGCGCCCAGCGGAGCTTGTGCGGGGTTCAGCGTTGGCCTGAGGTCGCATGGAGTTGACACCACGCCTCTGCTGCCCCCATTCAGCCCAGCTGCTGGGCGCTGCGCCAAGGGCCTTGTCACTGTGGCCGCGAGTGCCCAGGCTCGCTGTCCAGCCCAGTGCAGTGTGTCCCCTGTGCCGAAGGTTTGGTGGCCACACTGCGGCAGAAGGAGGTGGCCAACATGGGCTGGGGCGGGGCTGCTGTTGGAGGCAGCAGCCTAGACTGCCCTACCTCAGTTTCCACCCGTGTCCCCTCCATGCTGCTGCTGGCCATCCTCCCACCTGCCCATGGCTCCTTTGTTTGCTGGCCCAGATCACCCCTTAAATGCCTTGCCCCTCTGTCCATTCGTGCATGCTGTTCTAGCTGTCCCTTCCCTTCTCCAAAGAAAAAGGGATCATCATTACCACAGTGATTTTTATTTGTCAGCTTTATTTTGAAGATTCATTCAGAATTTTGCAGGTTTAGAGCCTGAGGCCTCCAGGGGCTCATGAGATTTGGGGAAGCTGAATCAGGAACAGTCGAAAACAACCAGGCTGTCTTAGCCAAACTAAGTCTCATTTAACCACTAAGTTTTTGGGGTGAAACTCTTGGTGACCCCCACTCCTGTGAGGGAAAGGGCCCTGTGGCTTGGTGGGAACTGCACATGTGACTCAATGGGCTCTCTTGTCCTCCACAGGTGACCCACGGGCTGAGGGCATATGATGGCCTGTCACTGCCTGAGGACACAGAGACCGTGGCAGCGGGCCGGGCTGGCTGGAGCTACTCGTACCTTTCAGACGATGAGGACTTGCTGGCTGACGATGCGTCTGGGGGTGAGTTGCAGGTTCCGTGGAGGGTGGGGTGGGATGGGGTCATGGTTCTTCTTGCCGGCCCTTCACAAGGCCTGTGAGGTTCACCCCAGGTGGTGCCAGAGGAGTGGGCTTTGCCAGGCGTGGTGGTATGTGACGTCGTATTGGTCTCTTGTCACTGGTCCACTTACAGGAGGAAGGACTTACTTTGGCTCACACGGCCAGGGAGGCTCCATTGCTTCTGGGCCCATGGTGAAGCAGAACATCATGGCAGGAAGTGTGTGCGGGAACAAAGCAGCCCCCTCACGACAAAAGGGCATGGTGGAGGGAAGCAGCTCCTGTCATGGCAACCAGGAATCAGAGAGCGAGCAAGGCAGCCAGAGAGGAAAGGGCCAGGGACAAAATAGTCCCTTCAAAGCCACACCCCCAGTGACCCGCTTCATCCTGAGGCCCCACCTCTACCTTTCTGGCACCTTCCGATAGTGCCATCACTTTGTGATCCCGCCAGTGGGTGAATCCACAAGTGAAGTTAGAGTCCTCGTGGTCCCCATCACCTCCTGAAAGCCCCACCTCTGTGCGCGTGAGACTTGGGAGAGCATTTTAGAGCTGAACCCTACCTCCTATAATTCTAGCTACTCGGGAGGTTGAGGAAGAAGGATCCCAAATTCAAGGCCAGCGTGGGCAATTTAGCAAGACTGTGTGTCAAAATAGAAAAGATAAAGGGCTGGGAGTATAACTCACCACTCCCTGGGTTCAGTCCTGTGTATTGGAGAGAAAAATAAAGACACAGACGTGGGCCGCTATGTCCCCAGCCCTGGTCCTGGTGACTAGCATCCACCACGTAAAATTTGTGTGACCTTGGGGTGGCCGCAGCGCCTCTCTGCTGTCCAGGACTGTTGGGACCTACAGGGAGGTGGCTGGCAGTGCGTGGTACAGGATGATCCCCACCCTGCTGCTCCACCTCCTCCCCTCCTCACTTGGAGGCCAGTCTGATCTGATGAGTCCCTGGTGTCCGTGGCCTTGGTCCACACCCTCTCTGGTGGACATTCCCAAGCTGGCATTACAGGCTACGCTCCTGAATGGGCAAGGAGGGTAACCATTCTCTACCTGCCTGCCTGCCCCTGCCCCGCTGTGGGTTGGAGGCCACAGTGCCCAACACCCAGCGGGTGCTCGACAAGTATTATTGCTGAAAAAGGCCTTTCTTTTGTTTGCAGATGGCCTGGGCAGCGGGGACCTGGGCAGCGGAGATTTCCAGATGGGTAAGTTGCCACAGGCATCCTGCAGGCCCCCTTCGGCCCCATATCAGGCCTCTGACCCACAGAGGGCCCATCTCCTGGGCTGGGGCCCTCAAGGGCTCTTTGGGTCTGCCCTGGGCAGTGCACTGTGAGAAGTGAGGTTGGTCTCGTGCATGCCAAGTGACAGTCGTGTGGACATTGAGGATGGCCAGGGTCTGTGCCTGCCTTCATCATCAGCACAGGGCTGGGGGCAGTGGACAAAAGTAAGCGAGTTCTGATGGGGCCCGGGCCACCAGCTGCTTAGCATTCAGTGTAGCCTGCACTTCCCCAGGGCTGGGGTCACTTCCCCCAATCTAGTGGGTCAGGGGCATCCTAACTAGGCCAGTGCTGGCAGGAGGACTGGTCCTGGGGTAGCCTGGTCCTGACCATGGCCTCCCAGCCCTGGGACTTGGCGTCTGCCTAGGCTTTCTCTTGGGGCAGTCTGTGCAGGGTACAGGGAGCCTGGGAGCCAGGTGGGGCCCACAAGTGAGGTGTCAGGTGGGTCCTGGGGATACTTGTCACCTCCTACAGTGGTCTGTGCGCCTCCTGCTGAGCCTGGCCCGCCTGTAGAGGCCCTGCTGTAGTCCTCCCTGTCCGTTCGGAAGCATTGAGGCCCCTCCCCTGGGCTGCTGGGCAGCCATGCCCTCTGCCCTCTCTGAGTGGTCCTGCTCAGCCTTTCCCTCTTGGTAAGCAGCTGGGAGGACAGGGATGAGGGTAGAAGGGGGATAGAAGGGATGAGGGTAGAAGCAGCTGAGGGGCCCAAGGCCAGGGTCCCAGCTTGTCTTGTGAGTGGGCTGATCTGTGGGAAGAGGTAGGTCTAGATCTCTAGGCCCAAAGTCTGGCCCAGCCAGCTGCCCCTGAGGCACATGTGGCCAGCTGGGCTGAATCTCAGCTGGGAGACAGCAGGTGTGTCTTCCTGATCCCCAGGGTCCCTGTGCCACTGCAGGCCCAAGGATGGTACTCTCTATGCACTGGCCAGGAAGGGCCATTCTGAGCCACGCCCCTGGCCCTCCTCTCCCAGGCAGGGCTGTGCTCCCTGGCTCGGCATGCCGGCACCCTCCCTGACATTGTGATCTGCTCCCCTCCCTGGACCCCTTCCACCTCCCTGTCACCTCTCCCGCTGTCCTGTCTCTTTCTGCCTTGCCCGCTCTTGTTGTGCCTTTCTCTCTTTCCCTCTCTCTCTTCTGCCTGTCTTTGTCTCCCCATTTCTCTCTGCCCCCTCATCTCTGTCTCAATATCTGTACTTCTCTCCTCTTTTGCTGTCTGTCTCTCCTCACCTCTCCTCCCCCCAACACTGTAGGCTCAGGCCCACCCCTAGGTGACAAGGATTCTCCCCCCGGTGAGGGACCAGGCCCGGGTCAGGCGAGACCACCGTCTGCTCTGCTTCTCTTCAGCTCGTGCTGTGTTGTCCTTTCTCCCTGGCCTCTTCCCAGCTGCACTTGGCCATGAGTCACCCAGGAGGCTCAGAGGCCTCTCCCTGCCGTCTGGGCCAGACCAGCCCCTGCCCCTGCCCCATCAGACCTTATAGATGGAAATCCTGTGGCTGGGACCCCTCTGTCCCTTCCCAGGGGCTCCTGGTAGGGCTAGGGGAAGGTAGCGCCCCTCAGGAAACAAGGCCCTGGGGTCTCCACCTGAGGACAGGCTGATCGTGGCCACCCAGGGACCCAGAGAGATCCTGAGCTGGAGACGCAGTGCAGACTGTGGCCAGTTCTGCTGAGCAGAGATAGTAGGAGTCGGAGTGGCAGGGCTAGGCTAGGTGGGTGTGTGTCCTACTCCCTAGCCGTTGGAGAGTGACCCTAGCCTCCAGACTCTAGCTTCTGGCCCCAGTAAGCTCTCCAAGTAGGGTCACGGGCCAGGTAAAAGAGAGTTGGCCAGGGCAGGCACCTGAGCCCCCTAGGCTCCACGGTGCTTCCTGAAACCGGTGAGCCCCACCTTCCGCCCCAGCCCCCAGGCCCTCACAGGGTAGCCGTGCAGGCTGGAGATCGCGCACTTGCCCTGACCTGCCCTGCTGGTCTGGGAGAAGTGGGTAGGCTCGGGCTGGAAGGTCTGTGCCCCTTCCAGGTCCTACTAGAAAAGGGCTTTGTGGTGCTCCCGCCCCCTCCCCGGAGCAGCCACATTCCTGGGCAGAGGCCCGGACTCCTTGCCTGCCCTGAGCCGTGGGCTGAGGCCAGGGCCCAGGGTGGGGGGACTCTCAATGGGCCTCTGTGCTGGCTCACAAGGGGCCTCTGTGGCTGAGCTCACGGCCCCTACACATGCCCTGGCCCACAGAGCCCCACCACCCAGCGCCCCAGAGCCCAGCCCTGTCCCTGTACAAGCACCCTCTCTCGGTGCAGGGGTACACTCCTGAACCCGGACCCACTCCCCCAGGGCTCTCTTAGTCATGAGGGAGAGAGAGAGTCCTGGCTGAGGGGCCTGTGTGCCTCTGGGCCTGGTGGACAGAGAGTAAAGTGAAAGACGCTCCTTGCTCCGACACCTACATTTGATATCTGTCATTTCTCAGAGCACACTTCTGCCTCAGGGTCTTCACAGTTGCCATTCCGCTGCCTGGACCCCGTTTCTCTCAACAGCTCTGTGGCTCTGCCCTTTCCTTCACACAGTCCCTTGAAGAGAGGACTTCCTGTCCACCCACACCCGTAGGCCTCGCCCCAGCTCTCCTTGCTCGTGTCTTGCAGTCCATATATATTCAGATCCTCTGTTCGCCTTTCCTTTCTCCCCACACTGCAAGGGAGAAAGAAAACACAAACAGAAAATCTGAATATAGGATCTCTATGGGGACAGAAATTTTTCATTTGTGGGGCTCACCATTGTGTCCCTGCCCCCAGAACGCCACCTGGCACACAGCAGAGCCTGCTCAGGTGACTAGAAATAAAGCCAAGTCCATTCCCAGGCTTTCCCTTCACGACCAGAATTGATAGAGGCACTGCTGTTGTCCTTGTGTCACAGATGAGGACACAGGGTTCAGAGAGCTCAAACACTTGCCCATGATCACTTCTATCAGAGGCAGTGCCACTCGAGGGGCTGGGCTTTTAAGCACTGGCGTGGGTCACCTCCCTATCCTGTGCCAGGCTGGGTTCCAGCACTTTTCCCCTGTGTAAGGGTCCTTTGCAACTCACGTTACCTTGGCATTTATAATTTATACTTTAACTCATGAATACTGTGGGATTTAATGTGGTAAAGATCTTGTACCTTGTAGGTTTCCACAAAATGATCGGGAGTGAGTCTGATTATGTATGGGTACCACAGTCTCCATATACCATAGATATATGATATGGATTGAATATATCATTTTTCCAACATTTATCATTTTTCCAACATCTACTGTGTGCCAGCCTGTGTCTATGTGAATGTGTGTTTGTGTATATGTGTGTATGTACATATATAGGGCTCATATGTACATACATATATATGATGCCATTTGCCACACAGTTTAGTTCATATTTACAACACATACAAAATTATAAACATTGTGCTAGTCAGCATTGCATCACTATGACAAAATACCTGAGATAATCAACTTAAAAGGAAAAAAGGTTTGCTTGGCTCACAGTTTCAGAGGTTTCAATGCATGGTCACTTGGCCTTGTTGCTTTGGGCCTGTGGCAACCCAGCACATCATGGCAGGAGCACATAGCAGAGACCTGTTCACCTCATGGCAGCCAGGAAGCAAAGAGGGGGAGGGAGCATACCAATGTCTGCTTTGAGGCCATGTCCCTAGTGACCTAACTTCTCCTAGTAGACCCCACCTCCTAACAGGGACCAAGCCTTCAACACATGGACCTTTGGTGGACATTCATGATCCACACGATAGCAAACGGCAGGAAATGTCACGGTGTCATGTAGAGGAGGTGCCCACGACACAACAGCCGTCTGGGTATGCCCACACCAGAGTGATGGGAACATGGTCAGCCATCACTCCGTAGCACGTGCCATGTGCCAGGCACAGTGTGAACCCTGAGGCTCGGGATGGCTGAGACCCAAGGTCCCTTTTTGTGAAAATCACAGTCTGGTGGTAGAGAGAGGAAGACAAAAGCACAGCTCCTGATTCACAGGGCCAGTGCAGCGCCTGGGAACAGTCGTGCATGTGAGCATGATGTACTTTTCTCCTCGCTGCCACTCAGGGTGGTAAACACAGTTAACGCCCCTCCTTCACCATGGAGGCAACAGGTTCAGAGGGGCGGGGTCAGTGCCTGGGGTACAGCTGACTCCGCACATAATTGTTCCTGTGCAGGTCCATGGCCTGTCCACGTCCAAGCATAACTGCCAGGGTCTGTGCGACATATGGGGGCAGAAGCTGTGGAACCCCGAGGAGGTGCTCAGGCCCAGCCAGGGCAGGGCAGGTGTCTCCACAGAGGGGGTGATGGCAGAGCTGCATCCTGCGGGATGTGGAGGAACTCGCTAGGGAAGGTTGGGGAGGCGTGACCTGGTCACACCTGCAGAGTCCCTGTGGCCAGCCAGCCTCCTCTGTAAGCCACCCTTCCTGTCCGGCCTTCCTCTGAGTGTTGGGTGCCTCCTCTTCTCCACTGTCACTTGGTTTCTGGATCAGGCCATTTTCTGTGGGAGTTAGAGCCCCTCACTCCAGATGGGCCTCAATGTGGAGCCCTAGGCCGGCCTGCTGGGCCACCACACCTGTCGTTGTGGGCATTGTGGCCCAGCTGTGGACGCTGAGGTCTCAGCCCACGTGGGAGGCTTTCTGGGATGTACCCCATTTCTGCCCACTGGTCTAGTTGCCTGAGGCCGCCACATGCCAGGCCGCTGACACCCTTCTCCTCTTTTCTACAGTGTATTTCCGGGCGCTGGTCAATTTCACACACTCCATCGAGTACAGCCCTCGGCTGGAGGACGCAGGCTCCAATGAGTTCCGAGCTGTGTCGGAGGCTGTGGTGGACAGGGTATGATGGAAGGGCTCAAGGACCACCCTGGGGTGGGGGTCAGGACCTCAGATGGGGGCAGTGTTTGGGGACTGATGTGCCGTGTCCCTCCCCAGCTGGAGTCGGAGTACTTAAAGATCCCCGGAGACCAGGTCGTCAGTGTGGTGTTTGTCAAGTGAGAAGGGTCCCCTGGGGAGGGGCGAGGGGCTTGGGCTGGCCTGGAGAGGCTGGCTAGATGAGGGAGGAAGCCTGGGTCCCCGGAGGGAGGCAGGAAAGGCCCTATGGAATGGGAAGGAGGATCCTTTGGACCTTACGTGGGCACAGGCTGTGCCGGAGCAAGGCCTGAGCCCTGGGGCCAGGCCTCAGGGAGGAACGGAGAACACAGGCATCTTTCTTCCCGCCGCCCTCTGCCTGTCCCCACCTCAGGGAGCTGGATGGCTGGGTCTTCGTGGAGCTGGATGTGGGCTCGGAAGGGAATGCAGATGGGGCTCAGATTCAGGAGGTGCTGCACACGGTCGTCTCTGGGGGCTCCATCGGCTCCTATATCACCTCCCCCCACGGGTTCCAGTTCCGCCGCCTGGGCACAGGTGAGCCTATCCTGGGACTAGGGGCCACCGCCGCCCTCTGCCAGACTTTCTCAGACTTGTGTGCAGCCCCCCTCAGGGTCTGTGCCGTGGGCTCTCCTCGCTTGGGTTTGCACGCTGCTAGGTGAAGGAGCTCGTGACCTCCTGAGTCTCCCCATCAATCTATATCATCTTGGGTGGAGCCCAGCGTGCTTCCTCTAACAAGTACGCACCAGGCCCAGGTTCTGCTGTCTGCCTGAGACTTCTGTGCATTGCCTGTAGGAGTCCCTTCTCCAGATGGTACTCCTGAGTGCAAATGACTTCGGCATTTAGTAATAACCGGCCCTGGTTTCCTGAGCACCGAGTGGATGCCAGGCCTTTGTACTCAGGCTCAGCCCAGGCTGTTTGTCACAGTACCCTCTGTCCCATTTCAACCCGTGAATCTCTGGGCCGCCTCTAATTCACTCTTATAGGCGGTGATTCTCGCCCTGTCCCATCTCAGTTCCCTCTGTGGAAAGCCTCCACCATGTCACCCGTGTGCTTCTCACTCAGGGCCCCAGAACAGAGCAAACTGCATCCCTACCTTAGTTTAACCCAATCAGGAAAAAAATAATGATCCATCACCTTCCTTGTTCTACACATAGCACACCCAAAGGGCTCTGTTGGCATCCTCAGACCCAGGTCTAAAGATTGCCAGGTGCCCGGCCCTCTTCTCCCACTTTGCAAGGAGTCCTCCTCACTGGGGGTGGTGGGGTGGTCGGTTCAGCCCTCGGCTCCCAGGTCCCAGGAGGTGGCTGCTGACCACACCTTCCTTTCCAGCACAGACCCCCCCACCCCTCCCAGCTGCTGCAGGGGTCGTAGTGACACCAGGTGAGAGTAGATGCCCAGCCAGGTCCAGTGGGGAACTGGGAGAGTTTAGTGGCTGGAGAGGAAGAAGGACAAAAGCCAGATGGCTGGGCCACCTTCTGCCCTCCTCCTCTGTCCTCGCTGGCCCGGGCTGTGGCTTGCATGTGTGTGGTGTGGTGGCTGCACGCGTGTGGCATGTCACCTGTGTACAGCTCTATGAACGGGAGGGTGAGGCCACTGCCATGCATCCCGTGCCTGGTGTGTGCTGTGGTTGTGTCCACCCAGTACTCCTTACCCTCACCGTCTGCTGCAGTGGCCTGACACAGGCCCGAGGTCCCCTTGCAGCCGTGTGGTCCCTGTGCTGTGTCACACCTTCCAGCAGCCTCAGGCCTGCACCTCTCATTCCCTCCCACTCACAGTGCCCCAGTTCCCACGGGTCTGCACCGAGGCTGAGTTTGCCTGTCACAGCCACAATGAGTGTGTGGCCCTGGAGTACCGCTGTGACCGGCGGCCTGACTGCAGGGACATGTCTGATGAGCTCAACTGCGGTGAGGGGCTGTCTGGGAGCACAGGTGGCCTGTGGGTGCCATCTGTGCAGGCCTAGGGGCCCCACAGGAAGGGGGTGGTAGGGTCAAGGATGGGGGTGCCGGGTGCAGCAGGGAGCAGACTATAGGGGTCCAGGGAGGGTCTGGGGACGGTGGGGCCAAGGTTGCCGAGTCCTCTGCTAAACATCTGGGGCACTTTGCAGAGGAGCCAGTTGAGCCGGTCCCTGAGGTCAGCTCTGTGCCATTGGTGGTAGTGGAGACCTCACCATTAACACCCCGGCCACCAGAGGCAACCACCACACAGCGGCCATCAGATACTCGCCGTCCCCAGACTCCGTTTCCCCACCTGGCCACACCTGTGCCCTGCGAGCCCCACGAGGCTGCGTGCCACAGTGGGCACTGCATCCCCAAAGACTACCTCTGTGACGGGCAGGAAGACTGCAGGGACGGCAGTGACGAGCTGGACTGCGGTGAGCCGCAGGCAGGGGTTGTGGGAGCCGGGCCGGAGTGCTGGCCAGTGCCGGTCGGACTGCTGAGCACTGCTTCATCCCACAGGGCCACCCCCACCCTGTGAGCCCAATGAGTTCCCCTGTGGAAACGGACACTGTGCCCTCAAGCTGTGGCGCTGTGACGGTGACTTTGACTGCGAAGACCGCACGGATGAGGCCAACTGCCGTGAGTGTTCCTCAGTGCCTGTGGCCTGCCTGGCCCAGGCCATTTGCTCCCCATTCCCCCCAGACAGGAGTTGGCTTCCCTGGAGACAAAAGTCAAGGTTTGTCTCTCTGATCTGGGCAGGTGGTGCACACCTGTAGTCCCAGCTGCTTGAGAAGCTGAGACAGGAGGAGAACAAATTGAAGCCCAGCTTGGGTTACATAGCTAAACCCTGTCCCAAAATTTTAAAAGTGCCTGGGGATTTTTTTCTACCAGCTCAGTGACAGAGTGCTTGCCTAGCGTGTGTGAGTCCCTGGGTTCTATACCTAACACTGCAAAAAAATAAAACAAAAGTTCATCTCTGACCAGAGCTGTGAGGCCCCAGGCCCCAAGCTGCTGGTGGCTGGACTGCCCATGGTTGGTGCCTCTACTGCTTTGCCGAACTTTTGTGACCATTGGTCTTTTCTTCGTTACTGTGGGGAAGGTGGGCGTGAAATGGATGACTAAGAGCGTGATACAGTGGGGCCTCTTGATGCCGAGGTCCTGGTGTGCATGTGAGTCGAAGCCCTGCCCTGTGGGCTGCATGATTCCATTTTGTGCTGCTGTGAAGAATACCCAAGCCTAGGTACTTGATAAGCAATAGAGGTTTATTTGGCTCACGGTTCTGGAGGCTGGGCAGTCCAAGATCCGGGGATCGTGTCTGGTGAGGGCCTTTTTGCTGCGTCCTAACATGGCAGAGGTATCACAGTGGCAAGAGATAATGAATGAGAGGGCCAAAGCATCCTCTTTATCAGGAACCCGTTCCTCTAATGGCTTCAGAAACCCAGGCACCAGGGCAGGGTGCTGTCTCTCAGTGCTGTTGCATCGGGGATCATTTCCAACATGTGAACATTTAAAATATAGCACGGGGCTAGAGGTTTTTCATCTAAAGCTGGTTCTAAGTCATTTGTTCCTTCATCTACCCAGGTCTTCATCCATCTGTCAGTCCATCTAATCATCCTTTCAGCCATCCACATACTCATTCACCCAAGCATCTGTCTGGCCATCCATCTATCCATCCATTCATTCATTCATCCTTTTTTACCTAACTCTTCATCTAGTCATCAACCCATCTATCTAACATCCTTCTTCCCATCCATCCTTCCATCCACTGCCCACCTCTCCATCCGTCCATCTATCCATCCACCCACCCAACATCCTTCTTTCCACCCAGCTGTCTATCCATTGCATACCGGTTCACCTTGGACAGTATTGACGTCATGACAGTTAGGTGAGGGAGGCTGGAGGGTCAGAGACACACCATGCGGCACCTTGTGTGTCCCGTCCTGGGAGGTGAGCCTGTGCTTGTCACTCTGAGGTTGAAGATAATCAAGCCACTCCCCTGAGTCCAGGTATCTGGTGTACATCAACATTTCCTGCTATCGGCCTGCCTGCCTTTTCCTGCCTTCCGCCACCTTCCCTGCCCTGCAGCAGTCCCTGGGTAGGAACAGCACTGGCAGAGTCTCATGACACCCTCCTGTGGCTCTGAGCTCACCTGGGAACACCAGCCCCTGGGAGAGAGAAAGTAATGGAGGGTTTTGGCTGAAAAGCCCCTCTCCAAAGCCTCTGCAGGGAAAGAGCCAAGGAAGGCATGTGCTTGTTGACAGAGCACAGAGTGGAGAGGAAGTGAGGCTGAGCGGCCTTGGGGACCCTTCAGAAGCTTGGGTCAGAGTGTGTCAGAGCTGGCGGCCCCCTTGGCTCCTGCCTGGATGCGTGACTTCCACTCCTGCACTTCTGCTCCTCACCCTCTCTGTCTCTCATGCTTGGTTTCCTTGAGGAAGAACATGGGTCACCATCTACTAGAGATGCCCAGCGGCAGAGCTGTCTGTGGCAAGCCAGCTCCAGTCAATGGGTGCCACCCCTGGACCAGTGAGCAGGGGTACAGAGCATGGAGCACCCAGGAGGGCCCCGCCATAACAGATCTCTTGCAAGGCCTGTCTAGTACAGAGGACAGTATGGGTTACCCGTGGCTACAGACACCAGCTCCTCTGGCCATGCCTTGACAGGGCTCTTGTCCATTCGAGATGGCACTTCTCTGATTCTGAAGGTGGCTGATGATGTGAGCAACTGTATTTTAGTCTGGTTTTCATTACTATAATGAAATACCCAGAGCAGGCCAACTGTATAAAGAAAGGAAGTGTATTTAGCTCAGCTTGAAGGCTGAATGCCCGAACAGCAAAACACAGGCTCTGGCGAGGTGGTCCCTTGGCTGGGCCACCTCATGGCAAATGCAGTCATGGGAACAAGAGGAAGAGGAAGAGGTCACATCTTAAACAGGAAGTCAGGGGAGACTGGGACCCATAGTCGCTGCTGAGGATGCACCCCAGTGACCTAAGGAGCTCCCCCTAGGCCTCTCCTTCTGAAGTTCCTACCCCTTCCACATCACCACAGTGGGACCAGACTTCCACCACATGGGCCTTTCGGGACAAACAGCCTCCAAGCCACAGCCCCTGAGGGATACTGTGACGTGGCTGTGACATGTCAGGCTTTGGGGGGTGCAGAGGGAGTAAGTGGTAGAGGTAAGGTAAGGTGAGGAGCTGTTCATGGCACTGGTGGCTGTGTTGTGCTGGGTGTGACAGCGGCAGCTGTTAGGTGACCCTGAGGCTCCTGGGGTGGGCTGTTGCTGGGTGCCGGCATGGGGTGGAACCGCAAATGGGGTAGCCTTCCCTGAGGGCAGCGCCCCCATGCCCACGCCGCCTGACTCTGTCCCGCAGCCACCAAGCGCCCTGAGGAGGTGTGCGCGCCCACACAGTTCCGGTGCGTCTCCACCAACACCTGCATCCCGGCCAGCTTCCACTGCGACGAGGAGAGCGACTGTCCTGACCGCAGTGACGAGTTTGGCTGCAGTGAGCGGGGAGCTGGGGCAGATGGGCCTGTCCCCTGGGGCCCCTCCTCCCTGCCTAGTTCCTCGGACCCCTCATGCCTGCTCCCCTCTCCCCAGTGCCTCCCCAGGTGGTGACCCCTCCCCAGGAGACCATCCAGGCCTCCCGGGGCCAGACAGTGACCTTGACTTGTGTGGCCATCGGCGTCCCCACCCCCATCATCAACTGGAGACTCAACTGGGGCCACATCCCGTCTCACCCGAGGTATAGCTCTGGGCCCAGCGGGGGTGGGGGTGCTTCGAGGCCCGCAAAGCCTTGGCCAGTAGCCCAGGCATGACCCACCGCTGTCTCTGTACCCATCAGGGTGACCATGACCAGCGAGGGTGGCCGTGGCACACTGATCATCCGCGATGTGAAAGAGGCAGACCAGGGCGCCTACACATGCGAGGCCATGAATGCTCGTGGCATGGTGTTCGGCATCCCTGACGGTGTCCTGGAGCTCATCCCGCAGCGAGGTATGGGGCCAGCCTACAGACGCCATCGCGGGTAGAGCTGGGCCGCTTGCCCGTGGCCCGCCACAGCCCTCCTCTGCCGTCCTGCAGGCCCTTGCCCCGACGGGCACTTCTACCTGGAGCACAGCGCCTCATGCCTGCCCTGCTTCTGCTTTGGTGTTACCAATGTGTGCCAGAGCAGCCACCGCTTCCGGGACCAAATCCGACTACACTTTGACCAGCCTCGTGACTTCAAGGGTGGGTTGGGGGTTGGGGGCCATGGGAGGTCGGTGGGGGCACCAGGCTCGGGCCAACTCAGAGGAGGAGGACAGCATGTGCCACCCAGACCCAGGACCGGGATGGGAGGAACACAGAGAAACACAGAGCCCCAGAAGAAGAGCATTTCGGGGGAAACCAAATACTTTTAGGAAGTGCCAGGTCCTGCAAGCTCAGGGCTGTTTGTTTCCAGATGGGAACCCTGAGGTTCTGGGAGGCTATGGGCATCCCCAGGGTGACACGTGGGTTGTGGGCAGCCTGTAACCTGGAGCTGTTGGGTTGGAATCTGGATGGTCAGGGTGGGTGAGGCTCCAGGCAGGTGGGCAGCCTGCGTGTGAGCAGGAGGGAGGGCCTGGAGGTGGCTCCAGCAGGGAGGAAGAAGGCAGGCTGGGCCCTGGGGCCAGGCCTCAGGGCCTGTGTGTGGTCATTCTCAGATAAGGGGCCAAGGGGAGAGCCTTTCGGCAGGCAGGTATGGCCTCAACATTTGGAAAAACTTTTTAAGAATCAAAACCGACCCCCACCGGTGTGGAGTCACTGGCCACGGTGGCTGATCACATGCTCATGCAGTCTTTCAGTGCCTCGGCTGCAGTAGCCACCTCTGAAGCACTGCATCTCCCCCTGTGGTGGGCGGACCGTGTGGGAGAGCACAGGTACGCAGATTTCTGTCAGCATAGCAGGTTCCATAGGATGCTGCTGCTAGAGACTGGGTCTGCTATCCAGGGAGGCCCTGTGTCAGGTGACAGTGTACACGCTCTGTGTGTGTGTGTGTCTGTGTGTGTGTGTGTGTGTGTAGGAGAGGGCTGAACTGGAAGACCCATCATAACAACAAGATGGACTAGCCACTTTCTGAGCACTTTCTTGGCAGCGCCTTCTATTTTAACCATTTTAAATCAGTTTTCTCATTTTATCTCCCTAACAACAGTGAGGCGGGCCATGATTGACACCATTTTATAGATAGGGAAACTGAGGCTCGTACATCTCTTGCAGGGTGTAGCCAGGACTGGGGCTCCAGATCTTCAGCCCTCTAAAGCTCTCTGCTGCCCCCACTAGGCTGTCCAGAACCTGACAGTCCAGGGAGCTCAGCAAGCAAAAGGCCCCGAGAAGCCTTGCTGGGGAGAATCCCCCTGACGTTTCTTTGCCCTTGTGGTTCCCAAAATGACTCCCAGGCGTCTCTCTACAGCGTTGGCTTCCCCAGGGCTGATTTGGGAGGTGCAGCTCCAAAACTTCAAGGAGAGAGAAAGACTGGGAGAGCTGAGGGCAGAATCCCAGTTACTCGGGAGGCTAAGGCAGGAGGATCACGAATTATGGGTCAGCCTGGGTAACTTAATGAAACCCTATCTCAGAATTAAAAAGGGCTGGGGGTGTAGTTCAGTGGTAGAGCATCGAGCACCTGCCGGCATGCACAGGGTTTATTCCTTGGTACTAAAAAAAAGAAAGACTGGGAGGAGGAAAGCACTGGGCTTTATTTTGGAAGAAAGACCACAGTTTTCTCTACCTCAGATTTCCTGCAGAACTGTTCCACCTCTCGGGGCTCCCGCCTCAGGTGGCCGCTCTGCCCTCACAGCTCTGCTGCCCCCCACAGGCGTGAACGTAACCTCGGCTGCGCAGCCTGGCGTGCAGCCCCTCGCCTCCACCCAGCTGCAGGTGGACACTGCCCTCCAGGAGTTCCAGCTGGTCGACCTGTCGCGCCGCTTCCTCACCCATGACTCTTTCTGGGCTCTGCCTGAGCAGTTTCTGGGCAATAAGGTGAGGGCCAGCTCGCCTGGACTGAGCCCTCCTCCCTGCCCCGGACCCACCTGGGCTCCCTTTCCCCTGACCCTGAGCATCAGGGAGGCTCAATGAGGGAGGTGCTGGAGGCTGGACACAGCTGCTCATGGAGGTACGGGGGCATCACTTGTGCCTGCAGCGCCCTGTCCTAATCCACTCCTTCTCGGCCAGGTGGACTCATATGGCGGCTCCCTGCGCTACAAGGTGCGCTACGAGCTGGCGCGTGGCCCACTGGAGCCCGTGGAGCGGCCGGACGTGATCCTGGTGGGGGCTGGACATCGCCTGCTCTCCCAAGGCCACACAGCCACCCACCCGGGGGCTGTGAACCAGCGCCAGGTCCAGCTCTCGGAGGTGGGTGGTGCTTGAGCTCAGAGGGGGCGGCAGCTGGGTGGGGGTGGGGGAGCACAGCAGGGTGATGCTGATGTGCGACCCCTCCTCACCCGCCCCAGGAGCACTGGGTGCACGAGTCTGGCCGGCCCGTGCAGCGGGCGGAGATGCTGCAGGTGCTGCAGAGCCTGGAGGCGGTGCTCATCCAGACAGTGTACAACGCCAAAATGGCCAGCGTGGGCCTAAGCGACATCACCATGGACACCACGGTCACGCACGCCACCAGCCACGGCCGCGCCCACACTGTGGAGGAGTGCAGGTGCCTGGCCCAGCGGGGCTGCGGATCACGACCCTGACGAGGGGAGAAGAGAAGCAGCAGGGCCTCGGGTTCCCGTAGCCACTCTTGGTCCTGTCCCCACAGGTGCCCCATTGGCTATTCTGGCCTGTCCTGCGAGAGCTGTGATGCCCACTTCACCCGGGTGCCTGGTGGGCCCTACCTGGGCACCTGCTCTGGCTGCAACTGTAATGGCCACTCCAGCTCCTGTGACCCTGTGTATGGCCACTGCCTGGTGAGTAATGCCAGCTGGCACTGAGACACCAGATAAGGGCATGGTGTGAGACACCCTTGTGCCCATAAGATTAGCACAAGCCTCCAGAATGACTGTCAGTGGCTGGTAGAAAAGCTTCCATGACCTCGGGATGGATTAACAAAGATAGAGTATCCAGACATGGGAGGTGAAGGTCTTACTGTCTTCCACCCTCTCTGTTGTTAATGCCGGAGGGCGCTGTGTGAAGCATGAGAAGTACAGTCCTTATGAGACATCCTTAAGGGAAAGGAGCCCAGACATCACTTCTTACAAAGAGTGGAGAACGGGGATTGTGGAGCTCACTCAGCAGGGCAGAACTGTTAATCTCCAAATCCCTGAACAGCTGCCAGCATGAAGGAGTGGACTTCAAGGCCAGAACCGGCCAGTGGGTGTGGCTTAGAAGACACCTCAAAGCCCTCACCCCAGCCTGTCTGGCTGAATTCTGCTCTGCAGAACTGAGCTGCTCCCTCTGCTCTGCTCCTAGAATTGCCAGCACAACACAGAAGGACCACAGTGCAACAAGTGCAAAGCCGGCTTCTTTGGGGATGCCACAAAGCCCACGGCCACTGCCTGCCGGCCCTGCCCCTGCCCCTACATCGATGCCTCCCGCAGGTCAGACCCAGCTCAGGCTGTGGGAGGGAGGCGGAGTCCTGGATTCAAATCCTGACCTCATCACTGAGTTTTTTTGTTCGCCATGAGTTCTCCAGACTCTGTTTCCCTTTCGGGTCGCTGTGGGCTGCAGTTGCTACAAGGCTGCAGATCAGGAACGGGTGGGCAGGGAGGCAGGGTCACACCTCCTAGTCTGCTGTGGCCAAGTGGGCAGCCTTCATTTCCCGGGTGGGTGTGTCAGGCCTGGTCCCCAGCCCTGCCCCATGCCCTGCCTATTTGGTGCCACAGATTCTCAGACACTTGCTTCTTGGACACGGATGGCCAGGCCACGTGTGACGCATGTGCCCCTGGCTATGCAGGTCGCCGTTGTGAGAGGTGAGAGGGACAGAGGACTGGGTGGGGGCTGTACTTGGGGGTCCAAGAAGGGCTGCTGATGCCTCTATCTCCCCAGCTGTGCTCCTGGATACGAGGGCAACCCCATCCAGCCCGGTGGAAAGTGCAGACCCACCAGTGAGTATCCAGGGCCTTCTCCCCGACCGCCCCAGCACCTTCCTGGAGTCTGGCCTGAACCCAGGATCCTTGAGAGCCACCTCCCCCTGCCTGTCTGTCCTGACTCTGTCTGTCGTCCCATGTCTATCCCACTCTCACTTGCCCTGCTGACACCCACCTTGTGTCCCCAGACCAGGCGATCGTGCGCTGTGATGAACGAGGCAGTGCCAGGTCTGCAGGCGAGGCCTGCCTCTGTAAGGTACGTCCCTGGGCCGGGAGGCAAAGAGACACTGACCTCTCCTGGTGGCACACATCTGTAATCTCAGCGCTGGGAGGCTGAGGCAGGAGGATCACACTTTTGAGCCCTGTCTGAGCAACTTAGTGAGAACTTGTCTTAAAATTAAAATTTTTTTTTAAAAAAGGTTGGGGATGTAGTGCAGTGTGAAGATCCCAGGTTCCATCTCCAGTACTGGGGCGTAAAAAGTGGCTTGGCCTCGGGCAGGAGCCCCAGTGAGGAAGTCAAGTGACTGAGTTAAGACCTCACCATGTATGCAGCTGTTCCACTTCACCTCACTTCACCAGCCCTCATGTGGACACCAGATTGGCATCCCCACACACAGGCTCAGAAAAGGGGTGCTGCTTGCATTCAGGGTGAGGAAATCAGCATCAGTGGAGAAAAAAGACTGGCTGGTGTTAGTCAGGCACTCCTGACTGGATGAGCAAGCTGAGTGACCTCGTGCAAGTCACTTCACAACCTTGAGCCCCAGTACCGTCCTGAGAAGGATGGTGATATTTTTCTGTACCTCCAAGTGCTTAGGGAAATGGAGTGAGGTGATGACTGCAGAGAAACTAGCACAGTACATGCAACCCTCCATAAATTGCAGTAGAAACTACTTCAACCAAATTGCTTCATTTCAAATCAAACCTCATTTGTGAGCTCCCTGGCAATCGAAGAGAAAAGGGAAAATAACTGCACAACCATATACAAACTGGAAATCATTGTTCAGATGGTGGCAGTGCCTCCTATGAGAATCCTTCCAGTGGCTCTTCTGGGTCCCATTGAGACAGTGGGTGGATTCAGCTGGTGGCCCCAGGCAGCCCCTCTGGTGGGCTATCCTGCAGCTCCCAGGTCTCTGCCTACAGAATAATGTGGTGGGCCGCTTGTGCAATGAGTGTGCTGAAGGCTCCTTCCACCTGAGCACCCACAACCCTGATGGCTGCCTCAAGTGCTTCTGCATGGGTGTCAGTCGCCAGTGCACCAGCTCGACCTGGAGCCGTGCCCAGGTACCCTTGTGGGGCAGGCGGGGTGGTGGGAGGGAGGTGGCTCAGCCCAGGGCTGGGTGGGGCAAGGATCAGTCCCAGGCCGCAGCCTCACCTGGCCTCTGCTCCCTTCCCAGGTGCTCGGGGCCTCCGAGGAGCCCACACAGTTCAGCCTGACCAACGCTGCAGGCACCCACACCACCAGCGAGGGCATCTCCTCATCCTCGTCCGGGGAGCTGGTTTTCTCTGCCTTCCACAGCCTGCTGTCCGGACCCTACTTCTGGAACCTCCCCGCACGCTTCCGGGGGGACAAGGTGAGCAGGGCCAGGGCAGAGACAAGCAGCTGTGGGCGCTGGGAACAGCACAAGCAGAGGCTGGGAAGCCGAGTGCCAGGTGCTATGGAGAATGGTAGGATCCGTGCAAGGAAAAGGTGGGCAGAGCGGTGACCAAGTGTCTGTCTGTCCCGTGCCCCAGGTGACCTCTTACGGTGGAGAGCTGCGCTTCACAGTGACCCAGCGGCCCCAGCCCAGCTCTGCGCCCCTACACGGACAGCCGCTGGTGGTGCTGCAGGGCAACGGCATCACCCTGGAGCATCACACCTCCCGGGAGCCCGCCCCTGGGCAGCCCAGCGCCTTCGCCGTGCCCTTCCGGGAGGTGAGCCCTCACAGGTGTGGGTACGGCCGGCCCTGCTCCTCTCCCACACGCGTCCAGGATGCCAGGGCTTACACTCGCATGCCGTCTCCTTGGCAGCAAGCATGGCAACGGCCTGACGGGCAGCCGGCCACTCGGGAGCACCTGCTGATGGCGCTGGCGGGCATCGACGCCCTGCTGATCCGCGCGTCCCACACCCAGCGGCCCGCAGAGAGCAGGTCTGGGCCCGGATGGGAGGACAGAAGGGGGCGCAGGGAGGGGACCCCAGTCTGAGCCTAACTGAGGTGCAGCCAGGCTGCCAGCTGGGCCCCGTACGGGCTGTGTGACCTTTCTGTGCCTCATTTTCCCAGTCTGTTTAGAAGAGATTGTGCTGATGTCTCTCCCCTCGAGCTGGTCTCAGCACGGGCCTCCTAGAAGCAGAGCTTGAGGCTGGGGATGGTGTGCGTGTGATTGCCATGGGAAGCCATAGGGAAGGGGAGAGACGCAGGACAAGCCAAGTAGGGCTGTGGCCGAAAGTCTGGCCTCAGCCTGGTTCCCCGTGGGGCCCTGTGGAGTCCTCATAGGGGAGGCAGAGGATCTCTTGTCCTGTGCTCATGTACCCTGTCCGGGTTCTGGAGTCTCAGGTGTGAGCCTTTAGCCCCAGCCCACGAGTCTGCTGTGATGGCCCTGGCCGGGCCTCTGGACAGGGCCCCACAGCGTGGTGGCAGGACACACGGGTGATACATCTCGGACTCAGGCACAGCCGGCAGGGTGAGCACGCACGTGCTCAGACCGTGTCCTGTCATGCGCAGGGTCTCCGACATCAGCATGGACGTGGCTGTGCCTGAGGTCACCGGCCAGGACCCTGCCCTGGAAGTGGAACAGTGCACCTGCCCACCTGGGTACCGGGGCCCATCCTGCCAGGTGAGCCTGGGCACCGCCTCCAGCCAGCCCCTCCTCCATGATCCCTGGCTGTTCCCTTTGGGTCCTGACCTCCCTGGCACCTCCCAACCCAGCAGCCCCTCATCTCCCATTCCTAGGACTGTGACACAGGCTATACACGCATGCCCAGCGGCCTCTACCTGGGCACGTGTGAACGCTGCAGCTGCCACGGCCACTCAGAGGCCTGTGAGCCCGAGACAGGTGCTTGCCAGGTGAGTCCCACCTCCTTCCTCCCTACCTGAGTCATGTGTGTCCTCCAGAGGCCCAGCCCTGACCACACTCTGCCCTCCCCTGCCCAGGGTTGCCAGCACCATACAGAGGGCCCTCGGTGCGAGCAGTGCCAGCCAGGATACTACGGGGATGCCCAGCGTGGAACACCCCAGGACTGCCAACCATGCCCCTGCCATGGAGCCCCCGCTGCCAGCCAGTGCGTCTGGGCCCTGCCCCTCCTTGGGGTGTCCACCACCACTTCCTGTGTTTACCCTCCCTGGCCCCGTTGGGAGGCACTGGTTAAATTCGGGGTGTGGTTTCCTCAGCGTGTCACCTGGAGGAAGAGACACTTGCCCGCAGCACCTCGGCATCCCCACCCGTTGGGGGGGTGGAGCCCCCCACCCCTGTGCACGAGCGAGCAAGACGACATGCAGGGAATGCGACCCAGGCCTCCTCCTCCCCTGGTCCCGAGGGAGGGCCTGCCGCCTTCCTGACTAGACGTTTGCCCCCCACCAGGACTGCCCACACCTGCTTTCTGGACACAGACGGCCACCCCACCTGTGACTCGTGTTCTCCAGGCCACAGTGGGCGTCACTGTGAGAGGTGAGGCATGTGGCAGGGAACGTGCAGGACAGGCTGCCTTGGAGCCCTCAGGCAGCCCACCCCTCCTATCAGGACCAACCAGGCCCCCAAAGCCTGGGATTGGAAACCCTTAGACACACCCGGGCGGAGCCCTGCACAGGTCCCTTCCACCTGTCGAAGGTCGGCTTGAGTCTGGATCGAGCCAGCTCGCCTGCTGTGTGGTCCCGTGCACGCCTCTGCTCTGCACCCGTTCTCCACCTCGGGCCTGGGCTCTGCACGGGCTCCCCGGCATTCAGCTTTTTCTCTTTGCAGGTGTGCCCCCGGTTACTATGGCAACCCCAGCCTGGGCCAGCCTTGCCAGAGTGAGTAGGGCTGTAGGGACAGGGAGGTCTCCAGCGTCGGGCTCCCCAGTCTCCTGGGGTGCAGCTAGGACAGAGCCCCTGTTCTCGCATGACCTGGAGCAGGTGGCTTTAACTTTCTGACCTGTCTGCATCTGCATGGGTCCCTGGCCACCCTCCCCCACTCCAAAGCTTTGTGGGAGCGCAGGTCGCTGCCTCGGAAACACACAGCAGCCCCCTACACCTGTCTTGGACAGCAGGGGGAGTGGGGTGCCTGGAGGTTTGGGGGCTCTTAGTTATAGCTTTCCTCCACCTCAGGAGATGACCAGGTGCCAGATGGGAGAGGTTGTAACTGTGACCCCCAAGGCAGCATCAGCAGCCAATGTGACACCAGTGGCCAGTGCCAGTGCAAGGTCAGTCAAAGCCCTGTGATCTTTGGGGCCTGCCTCTGGCCAGGGTGGAACTGGGGTGGGGCAGGGCTGCTCCAACTGCTGGCCTCCTGGTCCGCAAGAGACCCCCAGCTGCCTGCATACACCTGCCGTCTGCCCATCACAGGCCCAGGTGGAAGGCCCCACCTGCAGCCACTGCCGGCCCCACCACTTCTACCTGAGCACCAGCAACCCCGAGGGCTGCCTGCCCTGCTTCTGTATGGGTGTCACCCAGCAGTGCACCAGCTCGTCCTACACTCGCCACCTGGTAAGAGCCAAGGAAGTCCGAGGCCTGGGTCCAGCCGTGTCCCGGTTCCCTCTGGGGATGGGTCCCCTGGTCCCCTTTGCTCCCATCTAGCACAGAGCACAGAGACCCGACCCCTTTCGGGGGCTGCCAGTCCCCCATTATTGCTCATCTCTGTGTGAGCCCAGCACCTCCCCATCCTCACCCCAATGTTCCTCACCATTATTTCATTCCAGCCCTGATCTCAGAAAGCCCTAACTTCCTGCCCTGATGCCCTCCCGTGCCCGGGAGGTGCCGTAGTTCTAGACTGACGCTCGTCCTCCTTCTGCTGCCAGATCCTTACCCGCTTCGCCCCCGGGGACTTCCAAGGCTTTGCCCTGGTAAACCCACAGCGCAACAGCCGCCTGGCGGGAGACTTCACCGTGGAGCCCGTTCCCGATGGCACCCAGCTGTCTTTTGGCAACTTCGCCCACCTCGGCCATGAATCCTTCTACTGGCAGCTGCCAGAGACGTACCAAGGAGACAAGGTGGGGCCCATGGCAGGGCTGCAGACCTCCCAGAGCGGCAGCTCGGAGCTGGGTCCCTCTGGGCACCGTGGTAGGTGAAGATGCCAACAGGTGTTCGCCTCGGGCGGTCCCAGCAGGCAGCCACCTGCCCCGTAGCTTCCGGGTCATGGTTCAGCATGCGCCTGTGGGCTCCAGCAGATGTGGATGTCAATCTCTGGACCCTCTGATAATCCTCAGCTCCAGGCAGCTGGCAGGATTGCGGGGAGCTCTGGGCACATGGTGCGAGTTCATCTGGTAATGCTTCTGAGCCTTTGTGCGGTTTCCAAAAGCTGAGTTCTGAGCCAGGCCCTCCAAACACAAGGGCACATGAGACACAGTCACTTTCATTCATTCAAAATCCACTGGTGGGGCTGGGGATTTAGCTCAGCCGCAAAGCGCCTGCCTGGCAAGCGCAAGGTCGTGAGTTCGGTTCCCGGTACCGGAGCAAAAAAAACAAAACAAAAAACAAACAAACAAAAATCCACTAGTGAGCCGGGCATGATGGCACACACCTGTAATCCCAGCACCTGGGAGGCTGAGGCAGGAGGATCATTGTGAGTTCAAGGGCAGCCTGGGATACCAAATGAGACCCTTTCTCAAAAAAACCAACAACAAAAGAAATCCACTGGTCTACACTGCAGGCTCTGAGCTGGGGGTTGGGCATAGCTGTTCTTACAGTGTCTCCTAAGCTCTTACCATGTGCCAGGCATTATTCTGAGCATCTTTGTGTATCAAAAGTCACAACTGTCTAGGCCAGGTACTCCTACTCTCCTACTTAATAACTGAGGAAACTAAGGCAGGACAGGCTCAAGGAGACCTTACCTAAAGGTCCTAAATGATTCAAACCCAGATCACAGGCTGTGGAGTGTGTCTCTGCTGCTCTGAGACGTGGTCTGGTGGAGTGGTGGTGCTGGGGAGGGTACTGTAAGGGGCAGGGTCTAAGGGCAGCCTGCCCACGTGTGCTGCTCAAGTAGTCACAGCCGCCCTGTGGTACCCGGGGAAGCGGGACTTGGCACAGGAGTCTGCTACTGACAGAGACCCGTGCCCAGGGACACTTAGGCAGCGCTCTCTGAGGTTGCCTGGTCCCCGTTCCTTGGACAGCCCAGGTACCCCAACCCTGTTGCAGAGCTCACTACCTTGTGACCTCTTCTTGGGTTCCCTCCCTCCTGCCTCTGTCCCCCTCTCCCTCCACTCTTACCCCGCTCTCCTGGCCTCTCCTCGGGCCCCACAGGTGGAGGCATACTTGGCGCGGATGCGCCGGGCTCACCAGGTAGGCTTTGCTGTGAGTGGGTGGCGTTGGTGTGCTGTAGGCATGGTGTGTTCTTAGGTGCCTCACCCCTGCGAGGGGAGATGTCCGGTGCCCAGGACAGTGTGGGTCTGCATGAGGTCAGGGTGCTGCCGCACCCAAGCCCTGGCCGGCCCCGGGAGAGGCTGTGTGCCTGTCGCAGCTCCCTGCCTGTGGTCTGGTGCCCAGCCAGCTGTCTGCAGTCAGGATGGTGACCGAGGTGGCAGGGAAACGACCCAGATGCTAATCTGCATGGCTGCTCCTGGCCCCCAGTTCCCCTGGCATTGCCCACCCCCCCGCAACCTCCATTACCCTCCTTGTGTGCTCGAAGCCTGGGGTAACCCTGGGTGGCCGCCCCAGGAGGGGAGCATGCATCTCTGTGGCCCTTTCTGGCCTCCATGTCCACGGGGAGAGAATCCTGCCCATGGCTCCAGCTCTGTGTCCTTGGGAGGGCTGAGCTGGCTTGTGACCTCCACCCTATCAGAACCGCACGACACTCTCAGAGGAGCAGTGGCGGGAAGCTGTGAGAAGTGGGAGGATCCCAGGGCCCCCAGAGGGCAGGGGTCACGCACAGCGGGCATCACAGGTAACCAAGAGCTTGGCCAGGCAGGCTGTGTCTGGGACTTGGGGAACCAAAGCTGGCCTTTCTGGACCATTTTCCTCAATTCTACTCCAGGCCCAGCCCAACGCCCAGTCCACCCCAGGGTTCCACAAGGGGCTTGGCCTGGTGCCAGGCCCTCATGGAGAGGGCAGCCCAAGGAACAGCCTCTGGCATCTGTGGCAGGGGGCCGCCCCCAGAGCCTCTGGCTTCCGCTGGCAAGCTGTCTGCCGCTCTTTGGCTGGGTACCCGCTGGAGGCCTCTCCCCAGCAGGCCAGGCCCATCCCAGGACACCCACTGGGTTCCTGAGTACCAAGTGGTCCGAGGGCACAGGGCAGAGCAGTGGGCGTCAGCACTGGTGTGGAGGGTGCAGAAGTGGGAGGCTGTGGGGCTGGCGTAGGCTGAGGGCAGAGCCCCATGGGCATCCTTTCTGTCCCTTTCTGCTCTTCTCCTCCTCCTTTCTCTTCTGGTCCCCCAGGTGGATGAGGCCCAGAGGCGGATGGATGCTGAGATCTGGCAGCTCCTTGCCAGCTTTGCTGCCCAGCCCCAACCCCATCGCCGGGTTCTCCCTCCCCGCCCCCAGCCTGCAGCTGCTCTTCGAGCAGCTCCCCCTTCCTCCTCCTCCTCCTCCTCCTCTTCTTCCTCCTCTTTCACTCCTCTGTTTTCCCCAGCAGGCTCTCAGGTATGTGCCAAGGGACCTACCTGAGGATCCCCACCTACCATGCTTTCTAGACCTGGCCTGTTCTTCACTTCAAATTTCCCTTTAAACGGATCCTATACCGATTTAGTCACGGTAGTTACACATTTCTTAAATACATGTGGAAAGAGCCACTAGATTTTAAAGCATTCCCAGTATGCCGTACATCTCTTGGGGTCCACGAGAGGGACATGCCGGGCATGGAGAGATGCTGGCCCACGCCCCACCCGGAGAGAGCAGCGAGGTCCCAGGCCCGGAGGGGAAGCCAGCTGCCCAGAGAGCAGGCTGGGGGCCTGAGTGGGGGGCAGGTTGGGTCCTGTGCCTCTTCCCCAGTGCTGGGCCTCCCTGCAGCATCGCTGTCCTCTGTCCTGCCCCTGCTCTTACGACCTACCCTTCTGTCCTAGTTCTCTCTCTCCTATGAAGGCTTCTCTCTGCTTCCTGGAAGCCTCTATTATTGGCAGCTGCCGCGAGCCTTCCTGGGGGACAAGGTAACGGGGAGTTGGGATTGTGACAGATGGGTAGACTGAGGCCCATAGCCGGGAAGGGACTTCCTCGAGGCCCCAAGTGCAGGTCTCCCTGCAGCCACGTGCTAAGGAAGGAGTTGCTGTGTGCCGTGTTGGGTACAGGCAGAAGAGCAGTGTCCAGAGCTCAGTGTCGCTCCAGTTATTGCTGTCGAAGTTGATGTTGGTGTTCTTGCCTTTGGCATTGGCCTTGGCGTTGGTTAATATTGTGTTGATTCTGCTTCCGTCTTGTTCCTCAAATGGTGCAAAGCACCTCCTCACAGTGTGGCTAATATGCAACAAGTTAATGAGATAGGAGGGACAGGCAGATGTCAGGCAAGCGGGGAGTAAGCAAGGGGTCGGCAGTCACGGGGAGTTGCCCACTTTCAATGTGTTCTCGGTGCTGTGCTGAGTGTGTCATATATGTGTTCTGGGTTGCATGATCCTCATGATTCTTTTAAAAGTGACATTTGCACTCCCCTTTCCTTATGGGGAAAGTAGGGCTTAGAAATTTAAGCAACTTGCTGGACGTGGTGGCTCACGCCTGTAATCCCAGCACTCAGGAGGCTGAGGCAGGAGGATCATTGCAAGTTTGAGGCCAGCCTGGACTACAGAGTGAGCACAAGGCCAGCTTGAACTGCATAGCGAGACCCTGTCTCAAAAAGACAAAAAAAAAAAAAAGAAAGAAAGAAAGAAAGAAAGAAAGAAAGAAAGAAAGAAACTTAAGCAATTTGTCCAAGATGTCCATTCAGACAGCTGGAATTTGAGACCTGGTCTCTCACACTCCAGATTCCCCCCGCCCCAATCACTGTGCCACACACACCTGCAGCTTGCTGGAAATTTGGTCCCATAGGTGGCTGTGAACTTGCTGGCATCCAAGCAAACAGGAAACTAGTTATTTGGTTCTTGCTCGGTAACACCCCGAGCTCTTTACTTAGTCCCGAGCTTGTGGAGAACAGCACCGGGGCCTGTGTTACCCAGGGCCTGGCATGTGCCCAGCAGGTGTTTGAGAAACACCTTCCCACCTGAGTGAGCACACAGATGAACTAGTGGGGCGGGGGCTGAGGCAGTGTGGTATGCCTGCTCTGGTGGCTAAGGAGAGAAAGGAAAGTCCGATGGGGCAGAGCTGGGGCCTTAGCTGGCCACGTGAAAGCCCTTGAAACACCCACAAGGACTCTTCCCATCCCACCCAAAGAAGACCCAAGTCTAGTTGGTTTGTCTGCAACAGAGAATTCATTGGCTCATGCAGCTGCAGCTCCAAGGACGTCTGCTATCAGGCATAGCTGGATCCAGGGCCTCCCGCGGGCTTTATCTCGGTTGGCATCCTTCTGCAGCTTCTCATCGAACTGGAACAGGGAGCTTCTCTGTGCCAGGAGAGAGAGAAGTGCCAGGTTCCCTCGTCCATCCTGACTGGGGGAGGACAGTGGTGGGCTGTGCAGACTGCCCAGGCCTGGCTGGTTCTGCTGTGGAGGAGGAAGCCTGCTGCCCTGAAATCACACAGGCTGCGTGTAGAGGAAGAGCCGCTCATTAAGGAGAACCTGGTGTCATTTCCAGAAAGAGGGGAAGGGATTCTGGGCAGACCAAACACACCTACCCAATGGGCAAGACATGAGGGTCGCCTCAGCCCGCACCTGTGGCTGAGGACAGTTGCCCGTGGTCATTACCTCTGTCACTTTGTGAGAAATTCCTGTAACTCAAAAGGCACTGGAAGCTTGTTGGCTGAGAGAATCTGGCAGTGGGGAATGGGAGAACCCCGTAAGTGGGAAAGAGGCCACTCAGCACCACGGGTGATGCTGGAAGGGGCGGAGAGGTAGCTTATTTCCCCGGTGACCACAGGCCCCCAGGGGCAAGGGTGTGGCCCAGATGCCGAGGGGCCTTCACTGCAGTCAAACCCACTCTCCCAGGGCCCTGGGCACCCTGTGTGACAGGATCTGTCTCCCTGCAGGTGGCAGCATATGGCGGGAAGCTGAGGTACACCCTCTCCTACACTGCAGGGCCGCAGGGCAGCCCGCTGTCTGACCCCGATGTCCAGATCATGGTGAGCACTTGGACGCTTGGTAGGTGGAAGGGGAGGAGAGGAGCCATGCCCAGTCCCAGTGTCAGTCACTGAGCTGGCCCGACAGCCTGCTGTATCAGGCCCACACCCCTCAGCCGTGGCCCACTGCTGGGCACAGGGGCAGTGCGCAGGTGCCAGTCTCCGCAGGGCACAGGAACCTGGGAAAGCAGAGGTGGAGGGGCATAGTGGTGGGGAGAGTCGGGTCCGGGGTGCCCCTTCTCTCTAAGAGCCCCTCAGCTCCCCTTCCGGTCCCACCCATGTATCTCCAGGGCAACAACATCATGCTCGTGGCCTCGCAGCCGGCACCACAGGGCCCTGAGAGGAAGAGTTACGAGATCGTCTTCCGAGAGGTAGGGGAGCTCCGTGGCCACACGCTGTGTGACCCGCCTACCGTCCTGCCTGACTTGGAGCCCAGCTGTGATGCCACTGCCCTGCTCCTCCCTGCCCATCCTCAGCTCCCTGCCATCCTCCCCTCTTCCTGGGTCAGGTCTCAAAGGCCGAGAGGTGGGGACTGCAGGAGCAGATGCAAAGCCCTAGCATTCACCCACATTCGCCGTTGCCCCTCCCAGGAGTTCTGGCGCCGGCCAGATGGGCAGCCGGCCACCCGCGAGCACCTGCTGATGGCACTGGCCGACCTGGACGAGCTCCTGATCCGGGCCACGTTCTCCTCAGTGCCGCTGGCAGCCAGCATCAGCGCCGTGAGCCTGGAGGTGGCCCGGCCGGGGCCATCAGATGGACCCCGGGCCCTGGAGGTAGAGGAGTGTCGCTGCCCTCCCGGCTACATGGGCTTGTCCTGCCAGGTGAGTGTGCGCCCTCGCCGCTACCAGCATGCTGACCAGTGGTTGTCGCCATGGCCTGTGGTTGCTGTCGTGTCTGGATGACACCCTGCCCTTGGTATCATGAGTTACCCTTCCCAGCAGCCCTGAGATACGTGAATTCTCCCCTTTATGGACAAAAGCAAGGCTCAGAGGGATGAGTGACTTAGCTGGGGACATCCAGCAAACGTGACAGAAACTAGTTTGAACTCAGGTGTCATGGACTCCAAAGCCTTGGTGTCCCAACCACTGTGCAAGCCCTGCAGTGCTCCAAGGTTAGGACCCAGCTCGTGCCTTCAGGGAACGCTCCAGGGACAGGGAGGCCCACAAGGAGCGCAGGGGACTCTGGGCAAAGCTGAGCGAGGCCCTGTGTCAGAGAGGGGAGCTGTGCGGAGTAGAGAGCACTGTAGACAGGAAGAAAAATAAGCAGAAGCCTGGGAGGAGCGTGTGGGGAGCCAGCCTACACTGCAGCAGGTCAACTGCAAAAGCCAGTGAGGGCCCCTCCTGCCGAGGGAAGGCCACGCCTGCCAAGGGGAAGCTGTGGTCAGAGCTGGGCCCAGGATAGGGCTGGCTGGGAGAGAGTCAGAGGTGGGGAGTCCTGGGGCGCGGGCAGAGGGCCCCAGTTGGGTGGCACCCAAGAACCTCTGCAGGCTTTAGCCAGAGCAGGAAGCTCTAGGAGATTCGGAGTCTGTCTAACCAGGTGCCCACTTAATGTTTGATGAATGAATATTGAGGCCCAGGAAGGAGCCATAGAAGGAGGCAGGGCTGCAGTGCCAGGTGGGCTTCAGGAGGATCTGGCGTCGGCACATCAAGGACCCCCAGTTGGAAAACCCACATCTCTGCACTTTTCTCTCCATGTACCTTTTCTGGGGCCCCTAGAATTTTCAAACCCAGAGAATTTCATGTTCCTCGAAGTGACCGAGTTTGACACCTCTTAAAAAGGATGTACACTGTCTGCAGCCAGACGGACAAGAGTCACAAGCATCCCTTGGAAATGTGGGGAGGGAGGGAGGGCCCTCGAGGCTTCACAGAAGGGAAAGTGAAGAAAATTGTTCCCTAACCCGCCATTACCCATCTCAAATGGGAGAAGACATCCAGCGCAACCCACACTGCCTCTAATGGGTGTGACCCAGCGAGGAGGATCTCTGCGCTCTGGCTCTCCCCTGGGTCTCCTAGCCTGCTTTCTTGGCGCAGGGATGAAGCTTTTTAGTAACTTCTGGGGGCAAAGTCTGGGAGGCGGATGGATGACTACTACTATTTCCCTGCTGGCTGGCCAGGGAGACCAGAGTGGGGACAAGGGCAAAAGATGGGCCCCCAGTGTCCCCTCCAGGAGCCAGCGGGAGTCTAGGGGCTGGAGGGGGCACGAAGGAGAGGTCTGGGTTTGCTGGCTGGAGACCGAGCTTCCTCTGTCCCCCAGGACTGTGCCTCAGGCTACACGCGCACCGGGAGTGGGCTCTACCTCGGCCACTGCGAGCTGTGTGAGTGCAACGGCCACTCGGACCACTGCCACCCGGAGACGGGGGCCTGCTCGGTGAGTGCAGCGCTCGGACCTGGGCGGGGCGGGGCGGGGCGGTCTGGAGCTGCCTGTGGGCTGAGGGAGGGGACTTGGAAGGGCAGGGTGACGGGCCAGCGGGCCAGGTCAGCCAGAGCTGCAGAATATTGTCCTGTGTAGAGAGGGCTTTGGTTCTCAGCGTTTCTTATCCAAGTTGATACCTGTTCTTTGTGGAAGAACGAGTACAGGTTACAGAGATGAACGAAAAGGAAAGTTAAAATCCCTTGTCATCTTGTCCCCAGGAGGAGTCACTGCCCCTATGGGAGTGAACAGCTCGCCTGTCCCTTTTCTGGGCTGATACATGCTTTTCTGTGAGGTGCTGGGGGTTGAACCCAAGGCCTTGCACCTAGTAGGCAAGTGCTTTACCCTGAGCTACATTCCTGTCTTTTTTTATTTTATTTTTATTTTATTTTATTTTATGTTATTTTGAGACGAAGTCTAGCTAAGTTACCTAGGCTGGCTCCAAACTTGCAGTCTTACTGACTCAGTCTTTAGAGATCGAGTTACAGGTGTGCACTGCTACCCTGAGCTATTGACACTTTACAGATCGACTTAGGGTCATGTTTGGTGACTGTCTTTTTTCACCTACTCCTTCCTGAGCATCCTTCCTTATCTCCCCCTGCTTTTTTTTTGAGCCAGGATCTCCCCATGCAGTTAGTCCAGGACAGCTGTGAACTCGCTCTGTAGCTCAGGCTGGCCTCAGAGTCCATTGCATTTTTTTTAGACCTGGGCTTTTCAGAGAGGTGCATATAGAAACCTCCAGGTACAAACCAGGGCCAGAAGGTTGACAGAGCCACAGCAAAGCAAGGATCAGGGACCTGCCCCATTAATATAGCAAACCGGGTCTCTCCAGGAGACTGTGACACACACATTTCTGCGATGAAGTGTGTGTTTTCAAAGCTTTGACCCTGGTACCTGGGTGTACACCTTTTCTCTGAGACTAGAGGTTTTGTGTAAAAAATTATAAGAAATACAGCCATGTATTTCTTTTTTAAATTTTATTTTACATCTTTTTTTTTTTATCCTGGGAATCAAACTCAGGACCTTGTACTTGCCAGACAGGTGCTGTGCCACTGAGCTATATCCTCAGCCCATCCTTTTAAAATAATAAAAATAAAAATAGCCGGGCATGGTGGCACACACCTGTAATCCCAGCACTCGGGAGGCTGAGGCAGGAGGATCTTTGCGAGTTCGAGACCAGCCTGGGCTACAAAGTGAGCTCAAGGCCAGCCTGAACTGCATAGCAAGACCCTGTCTCAAAAAGACAAAAAAATTAATTAATTAATTAATTAAAATACAAATGAATAAATTTTTAAAAACATCATCTTTTTGATAGCTGTATGGGTACAGGTACTTTTGTAATCTACCCAGCTTCCTATTTATAGGTGTTTAGGTTTATTTCAACACCACCAACAGAAGTACCTTTGTAATGAAATCTCTGTGCCCTCCGTGATTATTTAACACAGTTCACAAGCTTGGAATTTCTAGGTCAAAGGATTCAAAATTGAAAGGCTTTTGGTAAATATGGCCCAGTGGCTAGAGTCTGATGCCCCTGTGACCCGCAGCAATGCCAGCACAACACTGCCGGGGAATTCTGCGAGCTATGTGCTCCTAGCTATTACGGAGATGCCACGGCCGGGACGCCTGAGGACTGCCAGCCCTGTGCCTGCCCGCTGACCAACCCGGAGAACATGTGAGTGCCTATGCTCAAGGCCAGAGGCCCGACTCTCACTGCGGGGTAGAGAGAGCGGGGCGGGAGCGGGCTTCCGGTGGCCTGACCTTTGCCTCCCTGCTCCAGGTTCTCCCGCACCTGTGAGAGCCTAGGGGCCGGCGGATACCGCTGCACAGCCTGTGAGCCTGGCTACACCGGCCAGTACTGTGAGCAGTAAGTTTGCAAACGGGAAGTCGCGGGGAGACGATGGTGCAGATGGATGCTTACAGGCTGCGAGAAGTTTTCTGAGAAGAGGACAGCCTGCTCCAGGAGGCTGTAACAGGGCAGAGGTCCCGTCCTCTGGGATGCCTCCCGATCTCAGGGCTGGATTCACGCCCTGCCCTGTGTCCTTGCAGCCTGATACACGCCCCTCGCTCTTGCTTCACATAGTTTTCATCTTGATTTCCCAACGAGAAAGTTCCACGAGACCAAGGTCTTCATCATGTTCAGTGTTACATCTCTCGCTCCTAGTATGGTGCCTGGCACTTGGTAGTTGCCTACTAAGTGTTTGTTGAGTGAATCTTTCCCCAGAGAATGAAGGCCTTATCTTTACCCAACCTGCTAACATTCCCCTCCAGTGTGGGGCCTCTCTCATCCCCAAAGTCCTTCCAGGACCCTGAGCCACCTCGCCCCTCACTGGGCTGCCGGCTGAGCTTCTTGCTCCCAGGTTCACTGTGAGGCTCTGGGTTACTTGAAACTTAACAGAACCGGCCCTCGTTTCTCCCGACAGGTGTGCCCCCGGTTATGTGGGTAACCCCAATGTGCCAGGGGGCCGGTGCCTGCCGCAGAGTAAGTGGGGCCATAGCCTGGGGTGGGGGTGATGGGCCAGGCGGGGGACCTAGGGAGCTGGAGGGACGGTGGGCTGAGGCGGGAGGGCAGAGGTCCCTGAGACAGCGCTGCCTGCAGGGGCTGCTGCCTGAATGGCTTCTGCTCCCTCCCACCCCAGCAGACCAAGCCCCGCTGGAGGTCCAGGTCCATCCGGCTCGGAGCGTAGTCCCCCAGGGGGGGCCCCACTCCCTACGGTGCCAGGTCAGTGGGAGCCCACCCCACTACTTCTACTGGTCCCGTGAGGATGGGCAGCCTGTGCCCAGCAGCACCCAGCAGCGACATCAAGGTACCCAAGCCCCCGTGAGTCCCCCAGGGAGAGGGATGCCTGCCTGCAGGGCTGGGTGGAGAAGGAAGTGTGTGCTGATGAGCCCCCTCCCCAGGCGCCGAGCTCCACTTCCCCAGCGTGCAACCCTCTGATGCCGGGGTCTACATCTGCACCTGCCGGAACCTCCACCACGTCAACGCCAGCCGGGCAGAGCTGCTGGTCACTGGTGGGTTCCTTCCCCCCTGTGCCTAAGATTGCAGCCCTCAGCAGAGGTGCACTCATCTGCCAGGAGGGGGTGGTGGAAGCTGGGTGAGGATGGTGGCCATGGAGACGGGGACGGGTTGGATCCCAGACCCGTTTGGGAGGCAGGATCACCAGACTTGACTCTGGTCCAAGAGGGCAGAGGATAGGATGCTGCCCGACCTGGATTCTAGCGCCTGTGTGGGTGAGAGCTGTTTCTGAGACCCAGAAGGCTCCAGCTGGAAGGGGTCTTCACTAGGGCTCCCCTGAAGCAAAGTCTGAGACAGGATTTTTTTTGCAAGTAGTTTAGGGAAAGGAAGTGAGACAGGGAAGAGAAGGCATCTGATGAAGGGTATGTTAGGAAGCAAATTGGGGCCAGGAGCAGGTTTTGCTTATTGTGGGTAAGGAAGCCCCGGGAGCCAGTGTAAAACATGAGCCTCGGAGTCACTTGCTCTGGCATCCAGGGAGCTGGAGTGTGTGTGTGTGCCGGGTCCTCTCACTCACTGACAGGCCACCTGTCTCCCCATACAAGAATGCACAGTGGGCTCCGGGAGCCCCAGAAAGTCTCTATGCAAAGAAACAGCTGGCAGGAGCCAGGCAGGAGGGCACTGGGATAACTAGGTGGAGAGACCTGGGTGGGGACGGGCAGCCCCTGCTTCCAGTGGGTCAGAGGCATCACAGATTTGGTTTGGACTTGTTACAGTTGGAGGTGTTTGGGGAGACACCTGAGTGGGTTGGTCACCAGGCACTGGCAGGGAAAGCTTGTGCAGAACAGGGCCCAGGGCAAAGCCTCAGGGGGCAGATGTCCAGCTGAAGAGGGAAGGGCAGGAAAAGCTGGAGGGAGCAGGCCTAGAGGGGAGGCAACGCCACAGACAGAGGCAGGAAGGGAGGAGGGGGAGGGGCTGCCAAGAGCGCCACTGGTCAATGCTGCCAAGGGAGTAAGAGAAGGGCGGGGAAATGACTGGCGAGATCAGGCTTTGACAGCAGTGGTCGTCAGTGGGGAGAAAAAGAAAGGTAGTGAGGGGAGGAGGTGGCAGGTGGAGAAGCCTCTTTCCTAGGTATTGGCTCTGAGAGGAAGCCATGCAGTGGGGAGGGCAAGGGGTCAAGGAGGCATCTTCAGCAATGGAAAATTCCAGAACATAGTGGTCCATGGAGCAGTATGATCTCACCATGAGGAACAGGAGAGACTGACATGGTGTCAGAGGAAGGAAGCTCCCAGGAGGGGTCTGCCTCTCAGAAGGTGCAGGGCGGCACAGGGCTGGCAGGAGAAGGCACCTGCAAGGAGACTGGGACTTTGAGAAGATGGAAATATTCCTAACTAGTACTTTGCGTTAGCTCAGCCAGTGTGAGTTGAGGCCATGAGCAGTGACAGTGAAAGGGTGTGTGGGACGCTGGGGGAGGAGATGGGAAATAGTTGCTCAGAGGAGGGAAATCGACCCACTTGGGGAGATCCAGTTGCAATGCAGTATGAAATGTTAAGAACTCATTGGTGACCTGTGGTCATGTCCTGGAGCCCGAGTGACACCTCTAGCCACACTGTGCTGTGCTCAGTGCCAACGGGGAGGACCTAGGGGGTTGGCCCAACCAGGATAGGGAAGGAAGGGTAGCATCTAAGTGGGAGCAGGAGGGAAGTCACACCCAGAAGTGGGGACAGAGAAAGAGAATGTGGCCACAGGACAGAGACCTACCCAGCTCTCAGCTCACCAAGGGTCTTCCTGCGCCCACAGAGGCACCAGGCAAGCCCATCACAGTGACAGTGGAGGAGCAGCGGAGCCAGAGCGTGCGCCCTGGAGCTGATGTCACTTTCATCTGCACTGCCAAGAGCAAGGTAGGAGGACAGAGCCTGGGGCACGGGGTCTGGGCACTGGGACCCTGAACCCCACATCATCCACACCTGCTTTTGCCCCAAAGTCTCCTGCCTACACCCTGGTCTGGACCCGCCTGCACAACGGGAAGCTGCCCTCCCGAGCCATGGACTTCAACGGCATCCTGACCATCCGCAACGTGCAGCCCAGCGACGCAGGCACCTACGTGTGCACCGGCTCCAACATGTTCGCCATGGACCAGGGCACGGCCACGCTGCATGTGCAAGGTACATCTCCCCCCCACAGCTGACCTGCACCCAGCGTTAACCCCACGCCCACCAGGACTGCGCACTGTTCATGCCACAGGTCATTTCTGAGTACCTGTGGTATACCAGGTCCGGGTCCAGGCTCTGGGAAGAATGACAAACAGGATCTCAGTCCTGTGGGGCGTCTGTCCTGGTAGAGGCGACCACAGCAAGGGTGCAAATGAACAAACAAGAGCCTTGCAGTCCTAGGGTGGGGAAGAGCGAAGGGATGAAAAAGTAACAAGCAAGGTGGAAGGAGGGTGGGCTGCTGTGATAGGAAAGCGGAGACCTGTGGGAAAAGAAGGCGTTGAGCCAGTGAGAGAGCTGGTGGAGTGGTCCAGCAGCAGGAGCAGTGTGTGCAAAGGCCGTGAGGCAGGAGCATGTCCGTGTGTTTGAGGTACAGAAAGGCCACCCTGGCTAGATCTGTGGGAAGAGGATAGGGAAGGAGCCTGAAGGTAGAAGCAGGGGTGAGAGCACGCAGCATGTGGTAGACTGGTGGTGAGAGGGTTATTAAGGCAGTAGGGCACTATGGACAAATTTTAAATAGGGAAGTAACAAGGTCTTTTTGAAGTTTGGGGTTTTCTGTTTGTCTGTTTTGTTGTATTGCATTAATGGGCACTGAACCCAGGCCTTTGTAGTAAACTACATCCCCAGTCCTTCCTAAGTTGCCTGGGCTGGTCTCAAACTTGTGATCCTTCTCCTTCAGCTTCCCAGAGTGCTGGGATTACAGGCTTCCACCACCAAACCCGACTTCCCATTGATGTTTTAAAAGTCCCCTTGTGAAAGGCCAGGCGTGGTGGTGCATGCCTGTAATCCCAGCACTCCAAGCTGAGGCAGGAGGGTTTCTTCAAGTTCAAGACCAGACTGGGCTACGTAGCGCATATAAGGCCAGCCTGAACTACGTAGCAAGATCCTGTCTCAGAGAGACAGCGAGCAAGAGAGATCTTTTGAGCCAGCCTGGTGGTGCATAGCTATAATCCCAACACTCTGGGAGGGCGAGGCAGGAGGATCCCAAGTTTGAGCTCAGTGATACGCTGGCTCAAAAAGTTTTAAAAAGTCTGGGGATATAGCTCAGTAGGCTCACCCCCTAGTACCACCAAAAGAAAAAAGAAAAAGAAAGCCCCTCTGATGCCGTGGGGCCAATGGCCATAGAGGGCTAGAATGAGAGCAGAGAGTGGCGAGGAGGCCATTGCTGTGACCCAGCCAACACTGCCCATCCTGAGCACATCTTTCTTGACCCTCACCAGCCACAGGCACCTTGTCTGCTCCTGTGGTCTCCATCCACCCACCGCAGCTCACCGTGCAGCCCGGGCAGGTGGCGGAGTTCCGGTGCAATGCCAGGGGAAACCCCACGCCCACCCTTGAGTGGATAGGTGAGGCCGTGACGCAGCGATGCTGAGGGCTGACCTGGGCATTCAAGGTCCAGCCACGGGCAGGACCCGGGGAGGGACTCAGCCTCCCAGAGGGCTGGAGTAAGAGCAGTCCCAGGGCTTGCTGACCCCCATGTCTCCATGCCAGGGGGTCCTGGGGGCCAGCTCCCTCTGAAGGCACAGATCCACGGAGGCGTCCTGCGCCTGCCAGCCGCCGAGCCCTCAGATCAGGGCCAGTACCTGTGCCATGCCCTCAACAGTGTCGGGCAGCACGTGGGCAGGGCTGTTCTCCAGGTGCACGGTGAGCAGGCCGGGCTGGGCAAGGGACTGAGACACAGGCCGGGCGCAAGGCAGCCAGAGGCTCTCACAGCGCTCTGTCCGCAGGGGGCAACGGGCCCAGGGTTCAGGTGAGCCCAGAGCGCATCCAGGTGCACGAAGGCCAAACCGTCAGGCTGTACTGCAGGGCCACGGGGGTGCCCACCGCCACCATCACCTGGAGGAAGGAGGGCGGCAGCCTGCCCCCACAGGTGAGCGGTCTGCCCCTCCCAAGCCCACTGGCTCGGCGGCATCAGCCCACCTGCCCTTCTGCACCCTGCCCACCTCCTCTCTGCTCCCTTCCTTTCCTGTACCCGACAGGTAGCCCCAGCTGTCTCTGCCCTCTCCAGGCCATCATCCTCAGGGCCCGCTTGACCCGGCTCAGTGCCTATCCCCCCGGCTACCCCTCTGCCGGCCCTCCTGTGCTCACCCTTGCCCCATCTCTCGGGTGGCTAAGCCTCTCTCCACGTGGCAGGCCCGGTCTGAGCGCACAGACATCTCCACACTGGTCATCCCGGCCACCACGTCTGCCGACACCGGCTACTACCTCTGCGTGGCCACCAGCCCCACAGGCACAGCCCAGGCCCGCATCCAAGTGACCATCTTGTCAGGTGCAGGCCGAGGGGTGCCGAGGGGGTAGGAGGGCAGGCCGGGGCCCCCCTGAGGTCAGCTTACCCTCTGCTGCCCCCAGCCTCAGGCGCCAGCGCGCTGCCGGTCAGGATTGAGTCTTCATCACCATCTGTGACCGAAGGGCAGACGCTCGACCTCAGCTGCGTGGTGGCAGGCTTGGCCCACACCCAGATCACGTGGTACAAGCGAGGGGGCAGCCTGCCTCCCCACGCCCAGGTAGGAGGCTCCCTGGCCCACGCAGGGTCCTGGGCTGGCATGGAGGCTCTGGCTGGGGTGGCCGCTGTGCAGATGGAGGTCGTCCTCCCCAGCGAGCCCCAGCACCCAGGGCCAGGCTCTGTCCCGGGAGAGTTTGATGACTGAACCACGAAGGCCCAGAGGGAGCGGAGGCTTCAACCCTGCCCCTGTCTTCACACACCTTCCCACCTCCCCGGCCCAGGTCCACGGTTCCCGGCTGCGGCTCCCACAGGTCTCTCCAGCCGACTCCGGAGAGTATGTGTGCCGCGTGGAGAGCGAGGCGGGGCCCAAGGAGGCGTCCATCATGGTCTCCGTGCTCCACAGCGCCCAGCCGGGCCTCACCCACGGCCCCGGTGAGGAGACGCATGGGCTGTCCCTTCTGCTCTGGCGTCAGGATGGGGGACATTCCACTCGGGTTTGGGCCCTCTGCCGCCTGCCTGGGGAGTGAGGCGCCGGGCATGGGATGGGATGGGATGGGGCTGGCCCGGCTTCCCTGGTGCCACGTGTGAGTGTGGTTTCAGGTCCCAGTGAAGCAGCAGTGTTTGGGTCCCTCCGAGTTGGGAGCTGGGCTGCCCTGGGATCCAATCCTGACTCTGCCCTTTGTCAGCCTTGATCTAGTTCCTTGCCTTTGGGGACTTCCGTTTTCTCCTCTGTGGGTTGGCGGTTTTAGTACTTGCTAGGTGGGGGCGGGTGTGGATGAGCCGGGGTCCGGGGAAAGCCCTGGGAGCACGTGGTGAACACCAAAGAAGGAAGTGGGGTCGTTGCTGGCTGCGTTCTCCAGGGCAGCCTGGCAGTGACCATCTCAGGCTCCCCAGTCTCCTTGTCAGGTTACCCTGGGCAGAGGGGCCGGGAGCCTGCATTGGAGGTGCGGATGGAAGGCTCAGCTGGCCGGGCAGAAAGTGGTTCCTGCCCAGAAAGGCCTCAGGTCCACGCTTCCAAGCTAGGGCCTGGTCACCTCGCATAGCCTCTGACTGACCCCTCTGTGCCCAGTGCCCGGCAGCACCCAGCCCATCCGCATCGAGTCCTCTTCCTCCCACGTGGCCGAGGGGCAGACCCTGGATCTGAACTGCGTGGTGCCTGGGCAGGCCCAGGTCACATGGCACAAGCGCGGGGGCAGCCTCCCCGCCCGGCACCAGGTACCGGGACCTCCAGGCCAGCCCACCGCAGGGGTCGGATGGGACCGCTCTGGCCCCGCCCAACCTTGCCTGTTCGCACACAGACCCACGGCTCGCTTTTGCGGCTGCACCAAGTATCCCCTGCCGACTCAGGCGAGTACGTGTGCCACGTGGTCCTTGGCTCCGAGCACCTGGAGACCTCCGTGCTGGTCTCCATCGAGCCCTCTGGCTCTATCCCTGGTGAGTGACTCTGATGACCTGGAAAGCTGGAGGAGGCTGCGAGCCTTCGCAGGGGGTCCGGGTGCCTGCTGGTGCCATCTACCCTGGAGCTGATGCAGGGCCCTGTCTGAGTGCTCTGCCATCTTCCCAGCAGCTTTCCTTGGCCACGTCACTGCTCTGGTTCCTGCTCCTGCCCTGCCTCCCTTTCCTCTCTTCAAGCCTCACCTCTCCCTTGCCCCATGCCGTGGTCCTCTGTCGCATTCCCAGGCGGATCTCAAGGCAGAGCCAGCCCCGGGTGGGTGGTCCCCGCCAGCTCTTCCAGGAGCATCTGCTACCCTCAGCCCTGTCCCCACAGCCCCAGCACCCATCCCACCTGTCAGGATCGAGTCCTCATCCCCCACGGTGGCCGAGGGGCAGACCCTGGATCTCAGCTGCGTGGTGGCAGGGCAGGCCCATGCCCAGGTCACGTGGTACAAGCGTGGGGGCAGCCTGCCCGCTCGGCATCAGGTACTCATACCTGGAACAGCGGGCGGGGGCCTTGGATGGTGGGTTGTGGGCTCCCAGCTCCCCATCTGGGGGCCTGGCAGTTCCCAGACCAGGGGACAGGGGTCAGGCATCTGCTAGGGTCCTGGACACCCTCTCACACCTCTGTCCCCACTGCCCAGGTCCGCGGCTCCCGCCTGTACATCTTCCAGGTCTCCCCAGTGGACGCCGGAGAGTATGTCTGCCGGGCCAGTGATGGTGTGGAGGCCTCCATCACAGTCACAGTGACCAGGGCCCAGGGGGCCAGCTTTGCCTACCGTGAGTGGGGCCAGCAGGCAGAACAGGGCACCAAAGGAGAGGCTGGGCTGCTTTAGAGAACCAGGGTGACCAGGAACCTCTTCTCTCCCTCAGCTCCAGGCAGCACCCAGCCCATCCGCATCGAGTCCTCCTCCTCCCATGTGGCCGAAGGGCAGACCCTGGACCTAAACTGCGTGGTGCCTGGACAGGCACATGCCCAGGTCACGTGGCACAAGCGCGGGGGCAGCCTGCCCGCCCGGCACCAGGTAAAAGGGCCGGGGAATGGAGAGGCTGAGAGAGGAGGCCCCTGGGTGGTGGGCAGGGAGCCCCTCTAAGACAAGGGAGGCCATGGGTCTCTCGCACAGCCACGTGGTGCATGGTTAGAGCCTGGGTCCAGGTCCGGTCAGCCTGGTGTGAGGCCAGACCCCAGACTCATCAGCTGTGACCATAGGCAAGTTACTTAGCCTCTCTGTGCAGTAGCTTCAGCATCTACAAAATAGAATTGTCTCCAGGATCAAGTTAAATAATGTACTTGCAGACTGCTCAGAGCTCGAGCCCTGAGCTATTACGATTGTCACAGTACCTTTAGCTATGGTTATAGTGCATCTTGTGGGTTACCACTGGTTGCAGGAGCTACCGTTATTTTGTATAGTAAGTGGGAGCGACGCCCACTTAGAGTAACCACTGCACAGGGTGCATCTTGACTCCGTGTTCTAGTGTGTGCCCAGCACTGGTGCTGTATGGCATTAGTGGGTGCCCCGTTATCCGCGCCTCCTGTGCACCCCTACTCCTGGGGTGCAGCCCTCTCCCCCTACCAGGCGGGAACTGCTGCCAGCTCAGAGAATGCTGCAGGCTGCAGGTCACGGACTGGGGCAAGGCACCCTCTGACTTAACGCCCCCCCATGCAGACCCATGGCTCACTGCTGAGGCTGCACCAGGTGTCTCCTGCCGACTCGGGCGAGTACGTGTGCCGGGTGGTAGGTGGCCCCGTGCCGCTGGAGACCTCCGTCTTGGTTTCCATTGAGCCTGCTGACTCTGTGCCTGGTGAGTAGCACTGGGGAGGGCTGGGCCACCCAGGGGTCCCCACTCCAGCCATGGACCGAGCCTCCATCTGCACTTCCCATGAGACCAGTAGCCCTGTCCCCCCTCATACCCATCTCTTCTCACCCCCTGTCGACTGACCCTCTGCCTCTGTCCCCAGCCCTTGGGGTCACCCCCCCAGTCCGGATCGAGTCGTCTTCTTCCCACCTGGCCGAAGGGCAGACCTTGGACCTGAACTGCATGGTGCAAGGGCAGGCCCATGCCCAGGTCACCTGGCACAAGCGCGGAGGCAGCCTGCCCGCCCGGCATCAGGTAGGATGTGGAGAGCAAAACAGGAACCTGGAAGACCCTTATAACAGCAGAATAAGCAGCACAGGCTTGAGCTGGGAGTAGCTCAGGGGTTGGTGCTTGGTTAGCATATGCAAAGCCCTGAGTTCAGCCAGGCGTGGTGGCATACACCTATAACGCAGGAGTCAGGAGGCTGAGGCGGGAGGATTGCTGTGAGTTCAAGGCCAGGATGAACTACACAGTGAGACCCTGTGTCAAAAAACAACAAACAAAAGCCCTGGGTTCAGTCTCCAGCATCACAAAAAAGAAAGGAGAGGAGGAGGGAAGGAGCGGAAAAAGTGAGCAGCACAGGCTTTGCATTCAGGCTTGTTCGAGTTTAGGCACTGCCTTGCTGCTTGCCCGCTGTGTGACCTTAATTCAGTTGCTTGAATTCTCTGATCTTTAATGTCTTCATCTGTCAAATGGGATCACACTGCCTGTTTCCCTTAACATGACAGCAAATGCTACCTCCAACTTTCCCCGGTGTCAAGTCTCAGCAGTCCCTGGCGTGGACGGGTGACAGGCTGGGTCCTGTCCTAACTCTGGGGCAAGGAATTTGAAGGGTCATGAATGGCGCTTCTTCCTGGAAGAGCTCCCATCAAGCTCCGACTGGCAGGGCGGGCTGGGAGGGGCCCAGGGGAGGAGACGGGAACCTGGCCTGGCCCTGAGCCTGCCGCCTCTGTCCCGCCCATCCAGGTACACGGCTCCAGGCTGCGGCTGCCCCAGGTGACCCCCGCCGACTCCGGCGAGTACGTGTGCCGCGTGGCCAGTGGCTCAGGTACCCAAGAGGCCTCCGTCCTTGTCAACATCCAGCAGCGCCTCAGCCCCCCGCAGTGTGAGTGTCTCAGGGATCTGGGCATGTGGTGGGGGCGGCTAGAGGCTCAAAACCCCCTAGGCCATGCTGACACCCCGCCTTCTCTCACCCGCCCAGCCCAGGGTGTGGTATACCCCATCCGCATCGAGTCCTCCTCCGCCTCCCTGGCCAATGGGCACACCCTGGACCTCAACTGCCTGGTGGCCAGCCACGCCCCCCACACCATCACCTGGTACAAGCGTGGAGGCAGCTTACCCAGTCGGCACCAGGTACAGAGCTGGTGGGCAGGGAGAACACCGGCTCTTGGGGAAGTTAGAGAGGCTCTCGGCACCTTGTTCTGTGCTCACTCAGTCATTCAGCAAACACTGCGCAACCTCATAGATAGACCTGGATTGGTGCTGATGATACAGCTCTATGTTCTACTGACCTCAGTTGGATTCACTCACTCACTAAATATCCCTGAGACGCTGCAGCACACATGCCCAGTGGAATAAGACGGGGGCCTGGCGAGGCATGGTGGCCCAAGCGTATAATCCCAGCCACTTGGAGGAGGCTGCAAGCTCAAGGCCAGCCTGAACTGCATAGTGAGACCCTGTCTCAAAAAGATAAAAATAATTACATTAAATTAAAGAATTAAAAAAGGCTGGGGATGTAGCTCAGTGCAAAGGCCCTGAGTTCAGTTCCCAGCACCGTTACAAAAAGACAGGGCAGACATGCTGAATGACAGCATGGGTGGCCGTCAGGACACCGCTGGGGAGGGCCGCTCAGGTTTTCTGGAGGGGTGACAGGTAAGAGCAGCACAGACCACAGCCGGGCCACCTGCCCTGCCAGGAGCCTCAGGAAGGCTGCTAGGGAGGCCAGGTGACGGGGGCGGCTTCCAGAGTCAGGTGTCAACGGCAGCCATGCCTCAGACATGGTGGTACCACCCCTGTCCACTGCCCCCTGCTCCCTCCAGATCGTGGGCTCCCGGCTGCGGATCCCCCAGGTGACCCCGGCAGACTCCGGCGAGTATGTGTGTCACGTCAGCAACGGCGCTGGTTCGCAGGAAACCTCACTCATCGTCACCATCCAGGGCAGCAGCTCCTCCCACGGTGAGAGGGCGAGGACGGGTCTGGGCAGGGGGGTGCCCAGCACCGTCGCTGTGACCTGACTGTCTGCATTGTCTGTCACCCGCCCCCAGTGCCTAGCGTCTCCCCACCAATCAGGATCGAGTCCTCGTCCCCCACGGTGGTGGAAGGGCAGACGCTGGATCTGAACTGCGTGCTTGCTGGGCAGACCCAGGCTACCATCATGTGGTACAAGCGCGGGGGCAGCCTGCCCGCCAGACACCAGGTACAGACTGGCGCCGCAGGCACGGGTCCCTGCTGTCCTGGGTGAGCCTGGAGGGACTGCCCGGGGCTCCTTCTCATGCCCAGGACATTCAGGCATTCTAGACCTGAGCGTGTCCCAGCCATGGGGACCCCGTGGCCCTCAGCTCCCTCTCTCTCCTCCCACGTCCCCAGACCCACGGCTCCCGCCTGCGGCTGCACCAGCTATCCGTGGCAGACTCTGGCGAGTACGTGTGTCGGGCCAACAACAACATCGACGCCCAGGAGGCCTCCATCATGGTCTCCGTCTCTCCCAGCACCGGCAGCCCCTCTGGTGAGTCTGACAAAGACCCTCATCCCAGGAAAGGGACAGGGAGACCTAATAACAGGGTCCCTGAGAAGGAGCCTTTGAGTTAAGAGTCTTTAGACTTGGGTGGTGGTCAGGACAAGGGCTCTGCATCACCAAGAGACTGAGCCAGTTATTCTTGCCTCTTGGCCTCAGTCTCCCCATCAGTAAAATGGGGATGTTGACTATTCTGACCTCATAGAGCTGCACTGTCTCATATGATGTTGTTAGCCAAGGGCAGGAGTTAAATTTTTTTTTTTTTTTT